GGAAAAGGAGGGTGACGTTCTATGTGGAGTAGTTGAGACTCAGACGGAGGGAGGTACGAGCCATGAAGGTATCTGTTGAAAGAACTTTCTAGATAAAGGAGCAGGCTGGGCTGCGCACAGATGAGCAGGGAGGCTCTGGTGGGCTCAGCAGGGAAACAAGGGGTGAGACCCTCAGGAACTCAAGAATCCACCTCTGGAGAAGCAGACTCCTGGCAGAAGTGGTCAGGAGGGCAGCCGTGCGTGCCAAAGGATGGAGAGTCCGCTGGAGTGGGTGGTTTGCAGTGGCGATTGGACTTTTTAAAAATTGTGGTAAAGTACACGTAACATTTACCATCTTAACCATTTTCAAGCATATGATTCAGTGGCATTAAGCACGTTCTCATTGTTGTGCAGCCGTCCCCACCATTCGTCTCCAGGACTTTCTCATCCTCCCAGACTGAAGCTCTCTCCCCATGAAACATTCACCCCGTCCCCTCCCCATCCCACCATCCCACTTCCTGTCTCTGTGGGTTGACTCCTCCAGGACCCTCACCACTACAGGATTTCTCCTTTTGTGTTGGCCTCATTTCACTGAGCATCATGTCCTCCAAGTTCATCCACGTCGTGTGTGTCAGGATCTCCTTCCTCTTTAAGGCTGAGTAATACCCGTCGTATGCATGGAGCACGCTTGTTTATCCATTCCTCCATCAGTGGGCGCCTGGGTTGCTTCCACCTTTTGGCTGCTGTGAATAATGCTGACGTGAACATGAGTGCACAGATATTTCTTCAAGACCTGCTTTCAGTTCTTTGGGGTCTCTGTCCAGGAGTGGGGTTGCTGGATCATACGGTTATTCTGCGTACTTTTTTGAGGATCCGTCCTGTCCTCCACAGCAACTGTGACTTGGCCTTTAAAAGTTCCTCTGTTTGTTGGCACATGTAGGGGTATTTGTCATATTATATTTTATTGCCTATGAAAATGATGTTAGTAATGACAGTAAGTGCAAACACATTGCGAGCACCTCCTCTGTGGCCAGCACTACGGAGGCATGCAGGGAGGGTGGGGGTGGGGGTCGGGCTGCTGGGGCACCATGGTGGCGTCAGGGAGAAGTTTGTCAAGGGTCTGTGCAGGCTGGAGTGTCCACTGGAGAAGGAGTGCCTTTCAGATGACGGGTAACACATGATTGCACGCTTAGGGGCATGTGGCTCTGGCCACCACGGTTGTGACCAGCGAGACTCAGACTAGCGCTCGTAAACTCATGCTCCTCCCCGGAGTGTTTGAGGCTCGGCTGCAGCGTGGGGGTCCTGGGGGTACAGGGTGGGGCATTGAAGTGGCATTGCATTCTCACCTGTGCAAAAGCCCGTTGACCACACTCGGCCCCAGGATTTCATTCTAGAAAAGTAATTTCCTGCTTCTGCAATTACAGGCCTGACCCCTGACCTCATCCTAAAGCGTGGGGGTCCTGGCAGGTGAGGAGGGGCCAAGTGTTTGTCAGGGCCCAGGTCTCCTCCCAGGTCCCACTCACTGGGGCAGCGAGTCCTTCCTCCCGCTGCCCGGCGCCAACTGCCTGAGGCCAAGGGTTGCTTTTTTGTCCTTTAATGGTATTCTGGGAAACATCGTCCCTGGAAATTATGAATAGATGTGCCCTGAAAGCGTGCTTTGTGGTCACCATTCACAGGAACGCACGGAAAGTCTGAGAAGGCCAGCAGGACAGATAGCCTGCAGTTGGTGGGTCTGGCATTTCCCAAGCTTGTCAGAAACCAGCACGTCCACAGGCTGACTGCCTCTGCCCTGCGGCCCTTCCAGAACACCAAGCAGGGCTGGAGAGGACGGCCTCTGGCGTTGAACACCTGGGCTGCCGTGGACGCCTGGCTAAGCTGCCCGGGCTAGCGTCCTGGACCGCCCGTGGCAGCGGAGGGTGGGCTTTTGCTGTCGAGGTGCGTCCTCTCCTAGCTCTGAGGCTGGAAGACCCCAGGCAGGGTGTCCCAGGGCTGCACTCCCTCCACAGGTTCTGGGGAGGGTCCTCGCCTCTTCCAGCTCTGCAGGCTCCGGCAATTCTTTTTTTTTTTTTTTATTGAGTTATTGATAGGTTACAATCTTGTGAGATTTCAATTGTACATTAATGTTTGTCAGTCATGTTGTAGGTGCACCACTTCACCCTTTGTGCCCACCCCCCACCCCACCTTTCCCCTGGTATCCACTAAACTGTTCTTAGTCCATAATTTTAAATTCCTCATATGAGTGGAGTCATACACAGATTATCCTTCTCTCACTGGCTTATTTCACTCAACAATTCTCTCAAGGTCCATCCATGTTATTGCAAATGGAATGATTTGGTTCTGTTTTGCAGCTGAGTAGTATTCCATTGTATATATGTACCACATCTTCTTTATCCATTCGTCTATTGATGGGCACTTAGGTTGCTTCCACGTCTTGGCTATTGTAAACAGTGCTGCAATAAACATTGGGGTGCACAGGACTTTTGGGATTGCTGACTTCAAGCTCTTTGGATAAATACCCAGTAGTGGGATGGCTGGATCGTATGGTAGTTCTATTTTTAGTTTTTTGAGGAATCTCCATACTGTTTTCCATAGTGGCTGCACCAGTTTGCATTCCCACCAGCAGTGTATGAGGGTTCCTTTTTCTCCGCAACCTCTCCAACATTTGTTGCTATTAGTTTTAGATATTTTTGTCATTCTAACTGGTGTAAGGTGATATCTTAGTGTAGTTTTGATTTGCATTTCCCAGATGATCAGGCGCCGGCAATTCTTGGTGTTGCTTGTCCTGTAGAAGCATTGCTCCAGTCCCTGCCTCTGTCGTCACACAGCCTTCCCGCCGTGTCCCCTCTGTGCCCCTGTTTTCTCTTACGAGGACATCAGATATTAGCCTAGGCGCCACCCGCATTCCAGTCTGCCTCATCTGAACTAATTACATCCTTAAAGACCCTGTTTCTAAATAAAACCACATTCTGGCTCTGGGTGGACATGAGCTTTTTGATGACACCATTCCACCCAGCATGCTGCCTTTCGCTCATGTTAGAAATTGAAAACTGGGAACACCGAACTTAGAGGACTGTCACAGGAATAAAAGCAGATGAAGCAGAAAAGGGAGCTGGGAGGGCCACTGGACAGCACACGCTCGAGAAACACAGATGCTGGGAGTCCTTTTCACTCGGTCGTGTCAGATCCAATGGTGAGCAGCAAATGGCATCATTCCCTTCCTGCCCCGCCCCACGTTGCCTCAACCTTCTGCAGAGTTTCGACAGATGCAGGATCTGTGGTCCAGGCCCCAGCGTCCTGGGATGCAGAGCCACCCTGAGGTGGAGCAGTGTCCATGCTGACAGGTACCTGCCCCACCAAGAAGCAGAGTCTGTGGGCCTCGGTCGCCACGCGGCTGCCGCAGGAGGACCAGCCCGAGTGGGCTGACTGGACGAGGACTAGGGCCATCTGAGCTGCCCCTTCTTTCTCCATCCCCACCCCTGAAAAAGGGTGCCGGGGGCAGCCTGGGTCTGCAGTCTCCCCGGCAGGTGGGTTCCTTTGTGGCACAGTAACAAATGGCCTCTCTGGGAAAGAACAAGAGGCCAGATGGCAGACGAGAGCTCGTCCACGAGACTCCTTACCTTTTGTCCGAGGTGCTGACGATGACATGCGGAAAGGCCCTACACACCAGGGGATGGGGGGACAGGGGCCGCCCCTCCAAGGCCCCCCTCCATTGGGAGTGGGGCCTGGACACCTCGGAGGCAGCCTCCCCTCTCCTTGCTCCTGTCTCCCACCCCAGTGCCCACGCCTCCCCAGAGATGAGCCCATTAAACCTTTGGGATGTCAAGCGGGAGCCACTACACACCCTCGCATGGGCCCGGGGCACGTGCACCCTCCACGGGGGCTGTTGGTCATTGTGGAATGAGCGAGATGTGCTCTTCTGCGACTGGCTCCATCCCCTCCTGCTGGCGCCAGCACGCCTGCAGACCCCCAGTTGTTGATGGCAGCTTGCTGTGACGCAGCGGCACAGGGGTGCGTCGAGGGATTTACAGTTCAACGTCCGGCAGAGCACAGACTCCGACACTGTGGACGTCTCCATCACACTTGCCCACGTGGAGCATGCCCGCGCTGCCCCTGTCATGCACCCCTTGAAGGCCGACTCCCTTTCCCACCCGGACCATCCGTCCTCTGGGCAACCCTGTGATGGCCAGGACCATCACGTTGTCCTGTTGTTGTTCTTATTAGTCTTACCAAGCAACAAACACTCCACAGTGCTCACCACAGCCGGGCCCACCCTTGGCGCTCTGTCCTACTTCACCCTTGCCTCATCCTACAGGGGGTGGGGCCACAGAGGAGACCCCATCAGCCCCAGGCCATGGCCTCAGGTTTCGGAGGAGCCGATGCCAGAGGCAGGAGTATAAACAGAAACAGAAGGAAGACCAGGAAGGGACCACAGCCTTTCAAGGAGGCCTTGCCCAGCCAGGTGGGGCGGGCAGCACTGAAGCTGGGGCGAGCCCCCAGGAAGGGCAGCGGGCAGGAGAGGGTGGGGTGGTGCCAATGATCTGTGCCCCATGTGGGACAGACGGCCAACCACTGGCACAACGTCCACGGATCCTGGGCTGGCATGGGGCCCTCCAGCCCTGGGCTGACCCACAGCCCCACCCTCCAGGATGCAGCTGTCCTCAGTGCTGGCTCTGACCTGTCGTTGTCTAAGAGCCTGATCCAGGAAGTGCCCCGACGCTGGCAGCCAGCTGGGACCCGCACCCCAGACCCTTCACTTCTGGGGCCTACCAGGACCTGTCCAGGCCCCAGGGGCACAAGGGACCTTCCTGTTTGCACTCGGAGGGGAGAAGGCCTCCTATTGTCCCAGTCAAGGAAGCCGCCGAGGGCTGAAGATGAGTCACGGGGATTCCGGGAACCGCATGGCGGGGGCCTGGACAGTGCTGGCGGGCGGCCCCTCTCCAGCCTCCCTCCTATATAGGGCGCCAAGCCTGTGCCTCGGCCTCCACACTCTCCAGAGCTCAGAGTGCACCCACAGCGCAGCCATGAAGTGCCTCCTGCTTGCCCTGGGCTTGGCCCTCATGTGTGGCATCCAGGCCACCAACATCCCCCAGACGATGCAGGACCTGGACCTCCAGGAGGTTCGAGGGTGGCTGGGGTGGGCTGAGCTGTGGGGTGGGTGGGGAAGCTGGCCTCAGGAGGACAAGAGATAGAGGAGGCTGTGAGGTCGGGGCCTGGCTGGTCTGCTGGGGCCGCCCTAAGAGGTATGCCAGCCTGAGTGGCTTGAACGTCAGAGACTGTCTCACCTCCCGGGGGCTGGAGTCTGAGATCCAGGCGTCGCCAGGGTGGTTCCTCCCGAGGTCCCCTCCTGGGCGTGTGGGCGGCGTCTTCTCCCTGTGTCCTCACGTGGTCATCCTGTGCGTGTCTGTGTCCCGATCTCCTCTTCTCATAAGCTCACCGGTTGGACGGGATCAGGGCCCCTAACGACCTCATTTTGCCTTAATCACCTCGATAAAGACCCCATCTCCAAAGGCGGTCATGTTCTAAGGTCCTGGGGGTCAGGACTTCAACATAAGAATTTGGGGGGCATTATTTAGCCCATATCAGGGTCCCTCTGCCACCCAACATTTTTCCATCTCCAGCCATGTCTCCCCAAGATGCAACCACTCCCCACTCACTCCCGGTCGTGGGCTCCTCTGGGTCCTTCTCTGGGCTCAGAGTGAGTTTAGGTAGAACATTCCTGAGGCCAGCAGGGGAGGGGTCCCAGGGCTGCCCAGGGAGGGGGTCAACGTGTGCTCTGAGAACCGCAACCCAATTCCTTCCCAGGCCATCCTGAGGAAATCGGGAAGGGGCAGGACTTGGCCTGGCTGGGATGGGGTGGGACGGAGAGTCCACTGTGGGGCTGGGGTCCTCTTCCTGCCCCTGGAGTGCAGCTTGAGGAACCCCCTCAGGTGGCGGGGAAGTGGCACTCCGTGGCCATGGCGGCCAGCGACATCTCCCTCCTGGACTCCGAGAGTGCCCCTCTGAGAGTGTACATCGAGAAGCTGAGGCCCACCCCCGAGGACAACCTGGAGATCATCCTGCGTGAAGGGTGGGTGTGCCCCCGGGCTGCAGGCCAGTGAGGGTCTGGCTCCAGGAGGGGTGGGTGGGCAGGTGGGGCTCCTGATGGGACCTGGCTATGCTGTGAGTGGGCATGGTGCCCCAGGGATGGGGCTCGGGGCTCGGAGGTTCCCGGTGTCCCTGGGGCCCCTGCCAGGGCTCTGGACCAACAGGCTGACCACACAGAGCAGTTGCACGGTGTGGGGAGGAGACCGAGTGGAAACCGGCTGGTCAGCTGCATGCTACAGGTCCTCAGGGCCTGGTCTGTTCCTGCCATGAGCCCTGCCTGCCCCCAGAGTAGGGTGGGGGGTGCAGGAGAGAGCCGGGTGGCTGTGGTGGAGGAGATGAGGACTCAAACCCCAGGATTGTCTGCCAAATGTGGGTCATTGTCCCTGCCGTGGGTGAGGGCACTCCCAGCTGGTTTCTCTCTGGCTCCATCTGACTTCTCACGGCCCCATCCAACCTGGTCACCTGCCAGCTGTTAGAGGTGACAGTGGGTGCAGCCTAGGCCCAGGGGGCCGGCCATCTCCCGTGGGAGCCCCTCCTGCAGCCAGACTTCTGCTCCAGCCTACAGTCTGACTTTATCAGAATGGTGTCCATGCCGGGGGCTCACAGAATCCACTGCCTTCCAGGGAGAACAAAGGGTGTGCTGAGAAGAAGATCTTTGCAGAAAAGACTGAGAGCCCAGCGGAGTTCAAGATCAACTGTAAGTGCAGGAGGCTCCCGGGGCTCTGAGCACAGGTGCAGTGGGGTGGGGCTCTGGCCCGAGGATACTGAGGCATGGGCGGTGACGGTGGCAACACCATCAAGAACCAGCTTCCACTGCCGTCCTCGCCCCTCCCTCTGGTGCCGCAGAGCCAGCGATGGCAAGCAGTTCCCTGCTGGGCTGGTCCAACTCCCGAAGGCAACCGAGTTCTCTCTCTCCAGGCTGGGTCCTCGGGTCGCTTGGGCTGACCTCAGGAAGCATCTGTGTGGTCCTGCCCGCTTGCCCTCTGCACTGCCTCCCAGGCCACCTGCGGGGAGCTGAGAGCCACTGCCTAATCCCCAAGGGTCAGGGCAGCCCCCTTGACCCATCCTGTCATACCCTCCACCTCCTGGGCCCAGGATTCATTCACTCATCCTCTCGTTCCTCCCTCAATCCAAGAGAAGAAAGCACCGTGGGTGTTGGGGGGGATGTCCCCCTCCAGACAGCCTGGGCCGTGTCCTGCTTTCCCCGCCCTTGGCCAGCCCTCCAGGCCGACTGTGACCCAAGGCTGCACAGGACAACCACTGACACGGACGCCAGGGCATCCACCCTGAGCCTGGCGTGATCCGTCGCAGTGGAGTCGAGATGCTGTCACTGCCTCTGCAGCCGCCCAGGAGACTCTGCCGTGCTGCCAGTGCCCGCTGGCCTCCGTCAGGCAGCCCTGTCTCGCTCCTCCGGTTCCCACGGCTCCAGGGCCACTCCGCCCCTCAAATGTGACCCTGTCTGAGGACCATCCTCTTCTCCTCCCTCACTTGGTGGCACCCGGTCTCACCCGAGATCAGTGTGGAGACCTCATTTCTCAACCACTCTGGGTCCCGAGACTCGGGTGGGGGTCATGGGTCGAGTGATGAGTGAGCCCGAGTCCAGGAGGCGGTGGAACAGCCCTGGCGAGATCCACGGACAACGCAAGGGCTTCCAGCCCTCTGTCCGGGACCACTGCGGGGAAAGCCCGGGCTGTGCCGTGTGCAGGAGCAGCTCCCGCCGAGTCCTCGGCAAGAGGAGCCCGAGGGTCGTGCAGGCTGCTGCCCAGCACCCGCCTCCTGCCAGAGGGGAGAACCCGCCTCTCATTTCCGCTCCCGTCCTGGTCCCTCCTCCAGACCTGGATGAGGACACGGTCTTTGCGCTTGACACCGACTACAAGAACTACCTGTTCCTCTGCATGAAGAACGCGGCCACACCCGGGCAGAGCCTGGTCTGCCAGTACCTGGGTACGCGCCAAGCCCCAGGCTTCTGTGCTGAGATGTGGCTGCTGGGTCCTCGCGGGAAGGAGGCAGGGGCCGGGCGAGGGGGCCTGTGCCCTGGCGGATGAGGGTGGTGGGATGCTGGGAAAGGTGGTGTCTTGCTGGACTGTGGGTGGCTGGTGATGCAGAGCAGACACGCAGGCTCCTGTGGTTGGTTTGACAATCTCCATGAGGCCAATGGGTTGCTATGAATCCAACAGGCTTTGTTCACGAAGAGTTTCAATTATTTCACCAAACAGGAAGTCAGACACAAAAATGGCCTTAAACTATAAAGTCCCGAAAGCAAATGTATGGTGGCATTGTCACTGTCACAGAAGCGGTGCCGCTGAGTGTCCCAGGGTCCGAGTTGACCATGGCGTTGGGCTGGGGAGGTCTCCCTGGCCCATAAATCAGCCAGCCTGGGTGAAGGAGACCCCACAGCCTGGGGGCAGGGGCACTTTTCTTCCTGTGACCATGCAACCCTCCAGCGCTGCCCGGGGAGGAGGAGGGGGCCTGGGCCGAGTGGGGAGGCAGGGACCCTGGAAGTCCAGTAGGCTGAACCCTGGAGACCACCCTGGGAGGTTGGGCTGGATCAAGCTCTGCCGACCTCAGGACGTTGGCTTGTCCTTCCCATGCTCTCCAGCCGGGAGCCCCCAGCCCCCTGAGTTCTCATCAAAGCCCCCACAGCCCAGGGACTGACCCCCCCACCCCCACAGCCAGGACCCAGATGGTCGATGAGGAGATCATGGAGAAATTCCGCAGAGCCCTCCAGCCTCTGCCTGGGCGTGTCCAGATTGTCCCGGACCTGACCCGGATGGCAGGTGATCACCTCCACGGCCCACGACAAGGCTTTCCCTCGGCTTGCGCCTCCTCAACCGGAAAGCCACGAACACAGAGAACATCTTCTCTCATGGTGGCCCCCTAGGCCTCCCAGGAGGCGGGTGACAGGCAGTTGGGGGCTGCAGAGCCCCTGAGGTGGGGTCCCCCAGCCCCCGCCAGAGCCCCCTGGGCCCGGGGCCGCCTGTCTGACTCGCGTCTCTTCCCCACGGCTCTCCCTCTCCCCACAGAGCGGTGCCGCATCTAGGCGAGCTCCAGCCCGTCCGCCTCCTGGGGTAACGTACCAACCGGGCCCCACGTCCTGGGCACATGGGGGTCTCAGTGGGGCCCCAGAACCCCCTGAATCAGCCTGGGGACCACCCTTTGGGAATGGCTGGAACTGGGGTCCCTCCTGGCCCTTGTGGAAACAGGCTGGCCACGTGCCCGCTCTCTCGCAATGGCATCTCCGGGATGTTGTCACCTGTGTCCTGGCCACACTCGCACACTTATGTCCCCACCACTACTTCTGGGGGGGAGAGGGGGTGGGTGAAGGTGGAGGGCTAGGAAGGATGGCATGGAGTGACGGCCACTCAGCCTGAAGAGGGTGAGATGGGGGCTCCCTCTTCCAAGGAGGGGTTGTCCTGCCCCCCGAGTCAGGGCGGGGCTGGCGAGGGTCCAGCAGGTTCCCTGGGAATCACAGGGGAGCCCCTGTTCACTTCAGGGCCCGGGAGCCTCGGCCCCTCTGCAGAGACGCCGTCAGCCCCTCCTCCCTGTCAGAGGAATCAGGAGGGACAGAGACCAAGGCGGCTGCTGGACGTCGCTCCTCCTGGGACGAGGCACCTCGGGTCCCAGCCTCCATCTCCTGCTCTGAGCCATGCCTCCTTCAGCAGTAAAGAAATAAACCTGAGCGCTCTCTCTGCCTGAGTCTTTCCTGGCCGACGCGTGTGGGATGGAGCCTATGGGGCGGCTCAGGGGGAGGAAGAGCAGGGCTGGGATTCAGGGCTTCTGTGTCACAGGCCTCGTGACCTTTAGGGATCAGCGCACATTACGAGAGGCTCTTAAACTTTCCGGAAGGAGACAGGAGTGCTACAGAGGCAGCTCCCTGGTTAACACCAAAACCTCACAGAGGACAAGAAATGAAAAATTACCTGTCGCTTAACCTAATAAATATTGGTACTAACACTTAAATAAGTTACTTGCACATCGAATTTGGCGCTCTTTTGAAAATGCAGCCCGCGTGACCCTCGGGCCCATCTTTCAGGAACCTAAGGACGATTGCGACCAGGCAGACTTGATACGAAACTTCGCATACCTATAAGTGCATCGGCCTTTTCTGGGCTAACGCAGAGTAAAGAGATTGCCCCTGGATAGAGGAGCTGGGCAAAAGAGGCCACAGGTGGGAAGGAAACTTGTTTTTCACACACTTTTGAGCATCACAAAAGGAAAAAAAGTATATAGCAACAGACACAGGGATTTTAAATAATAAGAACAATTTGTTTATAACAATACATACATACGTTTTCGTGTGTATATGTGCATAGTTATATACATGTTATATATACCTAATGATATACGTATAATATGACAGTTCTAAAATATAGATGGAATGGAAACATTTCTAGAAAAATATCAATTACCAATATTGGCAGAAAAAGAAAGCTTTAAAAGAACAGTAACTGCAGATAATGAGGAAGAGTTCCAGACCTTCTCAGTCTACACATGGGGACCTGGCACCCCTGCCAGATGGTCTCTGGCTCACACAGTCTGCTCCAGGGTTGTCAGCACAGAGATAACAAAGCAACATGTAAATGGTAACAAAGCCGGACGAGGGTGATGCGGGAAGAGGGAAGAGGATGCCGTCACATTTTGAATACAGACACAGCTATCTACGTAATGTATTAGTGGGTTGAATCTAACAGCGTATTCAACACATCAGGATGTAACCCAGAAAATTAAGGATGTCTGCATATTAGGGAATATATTAAAAATTTACCACCTTAACAGATTAAGGGAGACACACCCATATAAGCATCTTTAATTGAGTTTTTAAGAAGTATATTTCAACAACATCACATCCCGCTCGTGAGGCAAACTCCTTCCGTATCAGGAGCGTCACTCGACCGACGTAAACTGGCTTACGCTGCGTCATGAGCAACTCTGAAACCCCAGAGGCTGAAAACATCAAAGACTTATTTCTTGTTTATGCAAAATTTCTTTTGCAACTTAGCAGGGGTGTCTGCACTCATGGTCACTGAGGATCCAGTGATGAAACAGCCGCCCCTGTGAGGTTGCTGGTCACCATGTCAGAGGGAAAACACGGACGTTCCAAGGGCCTCGGAACGCCCAGTCAATGCTCTGTCCTCACAGACACACGCATCGCCTCCCTGCTCAGCCAGAAGTTGTCACTCAAGCAGACGGGAGCCAGGAAGAAGTAGAAGGGACATCCTTAAGCTGATAATAGATTTTAAAAAAACAACAGCTAACGTCATACGTAATGGGAAGAGACTGCACGCTTTCCCCAGAGATGGAGAACAGGCCAGGCCGACCCTCCCAGCACTCCTGTCCAACATCACAGTCCACTCAGAGGACAGCAGAAGAAGTGATGGCGTGAGCACTGGGAAGGGGGCATCCAGCACAACTAGCAAGGCAAAGAGACTACACACAAATGACTGACGTCAGGAGAGACAGCGGGTCATTGCAGACCCTGCAGACGTCAAAAAGACAGTGAGAGAAAATCGTGCACAACTCAACAGACTCGAATTTGACAACGTAGGTGAAGTGGACCAATTTCTCAACACGCACAAACTACCTCGACCCGTCCAACGTGAACGAGGCAGTGTGATAGCCCTACAGCTACCAAGAAAATGGAATTCCTAACTTGAAAATTCCCCAAAGAGACATTTCTGGGCCCAAGTGATTTCTCAGGAGAATCACAACACATGGTTAAAGAAGAATTAGCATGAACGTGGCGCAAGCTCCTGCAGAAAAGAGAGGAGGGAACACGTCCTAACTCATTTTATGAAGCTAATATTGCTCTGATATCAAAACAATAAAAAGACTTTTCTTTTTAAAAAAAAGGAAAACTGCAGACTAATGTTCCTCGTCAACATAGATGCAACAATCCTTAACAAAATATTATCAAATAGATTTCAGCACTATATAAAAAGAATTCTACACCATAGCCAAGTAGGGTTTGTGCCAGGGACGCAAGGCTGGTTCAACACTTGAAAATTAAAGAGTGCAGCTCACTGGATTATCAGGATGACAAAGAAAATCATATCATCATATCAATGTGGGAAAAGCATTTGACAAAATTCAACACCTGTTCATGATAAAAAAAAAAACCCTCAGAAAATAAGAGTGCAGGGAGCTCCCTCAATTTGATAAGGGCGTCGACAAAACCCTAGAATTAACACTGTACTCAGTGGGGGGTGATGAACGTTTTCATCAATGATGAAGGATCAAGAAGACGGCAAGGACCTGCTTCCACTCTCACTCACCATGGTGCAGGGTGTTCCAGCCAGGACAGCAAGGCAAGAAAAGATAACAAAAGGCATACAGCTCTGAAGGGACGAAAGAGGGCCAGCCGGTGGCCTAATGGTTAAGTTTGCATGCTCCACTTCAGTGGCCCAGGGGTTCGCAGGTTTGGAACCCAGGCAGGACCTACACGTCGCTCATCAAGCCATGCTGTGGAGGCATCCCACATACAAAACAGGGGAAGATTGGCAACAGATGTTAGCTCAGGGCCAAACTTGCTCACCAAAAAAAAAGAAAAAACAGGAAGAAACAAAAGCATCTCTATTTTCAGATGGCAAGATTGTCTATGTAGAAAATCTCAAGGAATCTACAAAAAAATCCCTAGAACTAATAAGTGAGTTCACCAAGGTGGCAGGATAAAAGATAGACGTGTAAAAATCAGTTGCATTTTTATATACTAGCAATGGACATGTGGACACTGAAATTAAAAATGCAATACCATTTATAATCATTCTAAAAACAAAAAGTGGAATACTTAGGTGTAAATCTAACGAAACGTACAGGATCTGAATGCTGAAAACTATACAATGCTGATAGAAGAAATCAAGGAAGATTGAAACAAATGGAGAGACTGACAGCGTCCGTAACACGGTGAAGACGTCAGTTCTCCTCAAATCCAATTCCTGTCAAATTCCAGCAAGATTTTGTTTGGTTTTTTTAAAAGACTGGCATCTGAGCTAACATCCTTTGCCAATCTTTTTTTTTTATTCTCCCCACAGTCCCCCAGTGCACAGTTGCATATTCCAGCTGTAGGTCCCTCTGGCTGTGGCATGTGGGACGCCACCTCAGTGTGGCCTGATGAGCGGTGCCACATCCGCGCCCAGGACACCAACCAGTAAAACCCAGGACCACTGAAGCGGAGTGTGAACTTAACCACTCGGCCACGGGGCCCGCCCCCTCAGCAAGATTTTTTGTGGACATAGACAAGATTACTCTAGGATTTATAGGGAAAGGCAAAAGAAGCAAAATAGCTCAAAAAATTTTGAAAAAAATAAGATGGGAGGAATCAGTCTATCAGATTTCAGATCTTATTTGCAGCTACGGTAGTCAAGCCCTTCTGGTCTTTGCAGACGCACAAACTCATGGATCAGGGGGACAGAGAGCCAGAAATAGACTCCCACAAATGAATACACCTACCTGCCGTGCATCCGTGGGGACCGAGCGTCCCCAAACCATGCCAAGCCCTTCCTAACCTGTGTGCAAGGCGAGGTGTGCTCTCCAGGCTCGCTCACACCCCGCGCTCCTCCCAAGCTCGGCCACCCTGCCGGTGGGTTCCTCCACGCCCGGGCAAGCCTCCCGGCCAACAGCAGCCTCTCCTCGCCTACCTCCCTGTGGGCCCCTCGTAGGAAAGAGCCTTATTTCTCCAGATCACGCCAGCATTGCTCAGCCAGCTGCCACTGCACCTTGGAGACTCTGTTTCTGTCCGCTTCCTGCCTGGTTATCAAAGCCGCTCCCACAGAATCCGTGCAGCGAGCTTCCCGGCCTGGGGAGCCATGACCACACGAGGCCCGTTCCACTGCAGATGCCCACCCCCCGCGACCTGTCCTCTCCCGACAGCCCTGCTGTAGTACTTTTCGCGGCTGATCCTATCTTTAAAACCTCGAGGTCTGGGGCCGGCCCCATAGCTGAGTGGTTAAGTTTGCACACTCGGCTTCGGTGGACCAGGGTCCCGCAGGTTCGGATCCTGGGCTCGGACATGGCACCGCTCATCAGGCCATGCTGAGGCGGTGTCCCACATGCCACAACTAGAAGGACCCACAACTAGAATATACAATTATGTACTGGGGGGCTTGCGGGAGAAGAAGAAGAAAAAAAAAGATTGGCAACAGTTGTTAGCTCAGGTGCCAATCTTTAAAAAACAAAACTTGAGGTGTATTTTGTGCCTTCAATGCTGCGACTCAATACCCTGAGCCAGGCCTGCCTCTCTCCCAGGCCTCGGTGGTGGCGGGGCTGGACCTCGCTCACAGGTCACCAGCACCCTGGCGACAGATGGGCCCCAGCGGTTTCCGCAGTCCGGTCAGGCTGTACAGGGAAGCCCGCTCTCCGGGCATCCCCATCAGAGAGGAAGAAGTCAGCAACGACATGGGAGCAGCCGGACGTCCGCAGGAAGCTGGAGCTGCTGAGACCGAAGCAAACAGAATTATCGCTTTTGAAGGTGAAGGGAAAGCTGGGGGTGGCTGCTGAGCAAACAAGCAGGTCTTGGGGGTCTTTCTCGCTTTCAACCTGAAGGATTTTACTCAAATGCAAATATTTGTCCCTACAGAAGGAAAACATCCCAGCTGCTCCTGCACAGTGATGGGCAATGACATCCCCAGGATGGCTGCTTGGTGGCACCCGGGTCCTCCTATCACAGGACACCAGGGATGGAGGGGCCCAAACTGTACAGAAACGGTGGGGACATTTCACCTGAGAGGTTCAGCGTCCTGCTTCCACCGTCTGCATCTTAACCCCAGAGAGGGCGGACGTGGGCAGGACTCAGGACCCCGCCTGAAGGGCCCGCTGGACTTCCACAGGTGCGTCTCATTAGTGTCCTTCGGGGACCCCACAGCCTGGTCGTGCTTGCTCCTTAGTCTGCGAGGGCGGGTCCAGGGTCTGCCGAGACCAAACGAGCACAGTGACCATCGCCTGCGAGCGATGCAGGCGGAGCCCAGCTCAGGATCACACAGCCCAGGCCCAGGCACACAGTCCTGCCCTTCCCCCATCCTCTCATCAGGACCCACCCCCAAGAACTCAGATGCTGGACCCCTCCCAGGGCTGAGGAAGACCCAGAGGTGCCGTGCGGGCTGTCACCTGCGACCCCAGAACCCACCCTGGCTGCCCAAGGGGACACTCCCGAGGTGACAGGCTCTAGTGTCCTCTCCGTGGCCCTGCTGACAGTGGGCGATGCTGCTGGAAGCTGGTCTCCCTATGCCCATGGGAGACAGTGGATCCCAGGACGGCAAGGCCAGGTGGCACCTCACCCTCCAACACAGTGGGCCTCATGATGCCAACAGCCGGGAACCTGGCACGTGAGCAGGGCTGATAGTGCCAGGCTCAGAGGGGTGGTGGCTGTAGGCAAGGGCACCCTCAGGCAGAGTCCTGCTGGCTTGCCCAGAGCCCTCCGTGTGGCCTTCAGGGAGGCCGTCCTTTGGCGGTGCACTGGCCGTTTCAGCAGAATTCTTCTCATTTTCAGCTCCTGTGTGTTTTTCGACTTTTTTTTAAAAAGGATTTAGGGCTTGGGTGTGCTTTCTGTCAAGGAATGAGTTCCTGGAGCACAGCTGTGCCCACCACCTGGGCAGTTCCCAGAACTGCACGCTCGGCTCTCAGGAGACTCCTCCAGGAGGACTCTGCAGTATTCGGGTAGCACCCAGCACTCAGTACCCAGCACCCTCTGACCACGGCCCTCCCGCCTCCGGGTGAGCAGCTGGCCTGGGCCCCTGGCTGCCCCGCTGCTTGGAGGCTGACCGCCCATGTGGCCTTGGTCTCCTCCCGCCAGCCTGGCCTTGATGAGAGTGGCCCCATGGGGGACATGAGTGTTCCTGGCAGCCTCGCAGCCAAGGGACCTTGCCACTCATGTCCCCTCCCAAGGGCTCCCATCACTTTCAGATGAAATCCACAGGCTACACTGGATCCAGGAGCTCCTGATGGAGTGTCATCACCTTCACCGAGCCCCCCACATTCCCACGCCTCTAGCATCAGCTTCAGGGGTGCTCACTCAGTTGAGCCATCCCCTGCCTCTCCTCAGGGCTCTTGCACACTCTGTTCCACCCTCTGTGAATATGTTCCCTCCTCCCTTTGCCCAGCCCCACCCCCCCAGCTCATGGTTTAGCTGCCACTCCCTCCAAGACTTGGGCGCTGTGTGATGCTGTCACTCGTGTGGCTGTGTGAGCCCCGAGATGGGCTGTAAGTTCCAGAAGGCTCTGTGGACCTCACTCGTTGCCTGGTGGAGGCCCACGCAGTATCTAGGATGGGCTGTCGTCTGCAACTCCCCCAGCACCCCTCGTGATTGGGGTTTCTGGGCATTTCTCCCATTTCTCCTTCAGAGGAACATGATCACTTCCCTACAGACGTCTTGCTGCTCTGGAAGCTCCCTGGCCTCTGGAGGCTGGGATCTGACGGTCCATCTGTCTCCAGCCCCTTCGTGAGATCAGATGCTCAGTGGCCACGTCCTGTCATTCCCACTCCATGCGTCTCCCAGCCAGTGCAGTCCAGCTCAGCCTCTGACCTGCCTCCTGCAGGCCTCATGGATGCTGCCCCAGAGCCGCCGTCCCCGCAGCTCCAGCCAGGCCCCTGCACGCACTTCAGTGGAACCTGTCAAGGATGATTTCTGGGAGCAAGAGTTTGTGGCTCTCCCGTGTGATTCTGGGCATATCCGCACAACCCAAGAATCTTGAATTTCCTCTTAAATTCTCTGTTCCTGGGGTGCCCAGGTCAGGAGCTGAGGGAGAGAGCAAGGAGAGCTCCAGACTCAGGGGGTCCCAAGCCCTGGGCTGATGGGGGCGACCTCAGGGTGCCAGGTCTCCAGGGTGACCTGGCCAGAAGAGATGGTCCGGTCCAGAGGGTCATGCACCCCTCGGAAGTGTGGCCAAAGCTATGGGCAAGGAACTTATGATGACACACACAGGTGCACACACACACGTGCACACACAGACACAGCAATGGGCCCATACCTGCTGGTTCGCACATGCGCACATCCCTGCCCGGATCTCCACCTGTCTCTGGCTCAGCCCAGCCGTGTCCTCAAGGAGCCCGGGGCCAACGTCCCAACCCCCTCCCCTTGCTTTCCTGCTGCTCATGGGGCTCCCCGCACAGCCCGGGGGTGCAGGACCTCCAGGCGCCTGCTGCTCCTCTAGAGCTGGGCAGGACAGGGTCCCGCAGCTGCACTGGGCGAACCCAGGCCGACTGGTTCTCCCCACTGTGTGACCCAGATGGGGCCTGGTTCCCGTGGGCCCACCTCATTAGGAGGCTGCCTTCCTTCCAGGTGAAATGGAAAATGCATGAAAGAATTCCACGCCGTGAACGAGACGGACAGGAGGGTCCACACCCAGGAGGGCAGCCAAGGAGCAGGGTCCAGGGGCTGTGACCCTCAGGACCGTCGCCTTGTGGGGACTCAGAGCACCGGCCCCATGAGGCTCCAGGGCCAAAAGCTGGGCCGCCTGCCCGTCCCGTGGGTGTGCGGGCCTGGGGTACCAGGAGAGGAGGAGAGTGCAGGGGAGGGGCAGGACCCCAGGAGGAGGGGCCAGACACAGGGAACAGCCTAGGACCCCTGCCCCAGAGCCAAGCGCTCCCCGCACAGGAGGGACGGTCACTGCTGGGCTGCTTCCCCAGATCCTCAGAAGTGCCACCCAGGGTCAGTGTCCTGTCCCCATGTGCCCGCCTCTGAATGCATCCTGACCTCCCTGCCCAACTGTGGCTGTCCTGCCCTCCAGCCCCCCCGTGACTGTCCTGCCCTCCCCCCGCCCCCACCATGCTGTAAACAGGCTCTGTGTCTGCTCCAGGCTCTGTCTGCGCCCTGGGCAGAGGATCATGCACTTGTTGGCCCTCAGGCAGAGGGCGGGGGGACAGAGACAGACACTGCAACCTGGTCCAGGTGCCCACGGAGTTGGGGGGCTGGGTGTGAGAGATGCTCACAAACAACCCCCCGGGGCTGGTTTCCCACTGTGTGCCGAGCCCGTGCTGAGGGCGTCCCAGCCTTCACTTCCTCCACACCCCGAAGACAGCAGAAGGGACAGGGACGGGAGTGGTGGTCCTTGCCTTTCTGGCTCCGCAGATGGATGGACGGACGCCAGGGAGGAGGGAGCTGAGCCCTGTGGGATGAGCAGACTGTGGCCTTTGTGTCCCTCCTCCTGCCACCTCCCACGGCTGCAGGACAGGCGCAGTGTGTGCAAAGTGGTGGAGCTGCCCTGACAGCATCAGCCCCGGGCCACCGACGCCCTCACTCCTTCAGACACAGGGCAGGGCGGCAAGGAGGCTGCGTGGAATCTGCGGGAAAGACTCCAGAACTTTCAGGGAGTCCTGGTGGGACAGCTGGGCTGGCCGGGGCAGCCGTTCGCATGAGTGGCCACTGGAGGACACACATGACAAAGGGGCACCAGCTACCCCGCCTCTCCTCCCTCTGGGCCCCTGCAGTCACGGCCCTGGAGAAAAGGCCACTGCTGCTGCTGACCCTCATCCTGGGCCTGGCCAGTGCCCAGGAGACTCTAGAAGAAGTGCCAGTGCAGCCAGCCTTCGATGCCCAGAAGGTAGCCGCGTGGGTCCGTTACCGGACTCAGCCACGGGACGAGGGCATGGGGCAAGTGTCGCAGGGGCGGTGCTCCGGGGCCAGGCAGGCAGGAGCAGGGGGCAGGACATGAAGGGAGAGAGGCTGGGTGAGGGGCGAGGGAGTTTCAGGCTTAGGTGCAGCCTCCCTGGAGGGTCAGCTGGTGCTCGGGCTCCTGCACAGCCCGCCCTGGCCCTGGGCTGCCGGGGGAGGGGGTTAGCTTCCCGGGAGCAGCAGCAGTACAGTTCACAGCAGTCGAGGCAAAGCGCCCAGACCCTGACGGTGGGGCCCAGGCTGGAAGAGGGGTCCTTGGGCACCTGGCTGAGCACTGGCAGGGTTGCCACCACTACGATAGGAAGGGGACAGTCCCGGGGGCAAGGAGGGGCCAGGTCACTCCTGCCCTGTCCTACCCCACCTGCCCATCACCCATCACTGGGGAGCGTGGATGGTGCTGGGCGGGGGCAGCAAGAGCAGCTCCAGGACTCGGGGGCTATTCCAGGGTGCCCCTCTCCCTCCCTGGACTGGCAGGGCACAGAGAACCCACTAAGGGCCACGCTTGGACGAGACACAGGAGGTGCAGAAGGAAGGAGGGGTAGATGACGGCAGTCGGAGAGAGGGAAGAATATTTACAAGAAGGAAGTGGTCCACTTGTCCCCCGGCCCGGGGCCCACGGGCACTCGCCGGGACACCCTGGTGGCCTGTGACCTCCCCCAGCAGCACTCAACACTGGCACTGGGGCCTGAGAGCCAAGACTGGAGGCTCCGGGTGCCACACAGCCGGGACCCTCACCCACCCTGCCCTGCACTCCTGCAGGTGGAGGGACGCTGGCTGACCGTCCAGCTGGCCTCCAGCCACGCACACCTGGTGTCCCCAGACGACCCCTTGAGGCTCGCTCTCCATTCCATCCGCAGCCGGGACGGGGACCTGGAGCTCATCTTATTCTGGACGTAAGCGTGGCCCTGCAGCTCCTCACAGGGTCCTCGTATTCAGAGGCCTCCCAAGGGACAGTGACCAGTGGTTAGAGCCAGAGGGACACACGGCCCTGAGCTGGGGCTCGAGACCCTGCCTGACAGGGCTGAAGGCTAACTCCGGAGGCCCCAGAGCTTGACAGTGAGGGGCCAGCAGGAGAGGCACACAGCTGGGGCCTTGGGGCGTGCCCTCCCTGCCTTGGAAGCTGGAGAGGCCTGGGTGGGGCTGTGCTTCCAGCCCTGGTGGTTGGTTAGGAAAATCTGCAGTGTGACAAGCTGTGCTGAGCTCAGTGACACTCAGGACAGTCTGTGCTGGACATGGAAGAGGGTTCCAGCCACGGCCTTTCTGATGTCCGGCCACAGACACCACTGCAGTGGCCTGTGTGGTCCCAGGGTCTGTCAGCACACAGCGCCATCCCCACCCCCATGAGAAACTGAGGACCCCAGGGCAAGGGACCAAAAGGCTTGGTTTGTGTAGAGCGCCCAGATGACCTGGCCCCCACCCAAGCCCTGAAACTCCGAGCCAAGCACGGGCCCCAACCCCTTCCGGGAAGTTTGGCTCCATCCCAGAAACAAGGCAGCCCGGTTCCTCGCTCCTGCCCTCCAGCCCCTCTGGCCACATCCCGGATCCCCATGGGTCTGCCCTCCGCCCCTGAGCTGGGTGGCCCTGTCGAGCCCAGGGATCCAAGAGCCTTGAGTGGACACCGAGGACCTCAGCTGGGGACGCCTCCAATGTCCCCCTGGGGCCTGAGCCAGCACCTCATGGGGGCCAGGAGGCAGGGGACAGAAGTGCACGTGTCAGCTCCTTTCCCTTTTCCCAGAGGAGAGGGGGTGTGCAAAGGCGTAAACGTCACCATCCATCCAACTGGGCTCCAAGGCCAGTACCAAGGCTCCTGTGAGTAGCCCAGCCCTCTCGCCTGGGCCCAGCGCGGGGGTATGAGGGTCGGGGGATTGGGACACTCGAGGCCCGAGGGCTGGGGGAGAGGGGCGTCACCTGTCACCAGCCTGTGGTCTCCCACAGTTGAGGGAGGCGGCAGCATGCACGTCCGCTTCGTCAGCACCGACTACAGCAACCTCATTCTTTACGTCCGCTTCGAGGACGACGACGAGACCACCAGCCTGTGGGCGCTGCTGGGTAGGTAGGGGCTGTCCCCAGTGCTGGCCACACCCCACGTCTGTCCAAGGCTGGGGGTCAGTGACCTCTGCTCTGAGGGTGCAGTACTTCCTTCCCCCTCCCCTCAGGTGGGGCATCACACGCTTGACCCATCTCCTGCCTGCCACATGCTGGGCCTGTCCTGGGAGCCTGGACTCTGGGTGGACAGATGGAAAAGCCCCTCCCTCATCCGCTTCATGGGGGGAGGGCCAATGCGGCTTAGGGCTTCAGAAAGTGGAAGTGTCCCAGGGACCAGGGTGGCCTTGGTGGGCCACACAGTCCTGAAGGCTGGACAGAGGTGAGGGAGGGGCCAGGCGTATCCCGGAGATGGGGACCGACAGAGCCAGAGCCCCAGGGTGCGGGCCACCACACACCAGGGGCCCAGGCAGCTGAGGTCATCGGGTTGGGGGGGCCTGGTCACTTGGGCAGCAGGCAGCTGCGTGTGAAGTGAGGGCTCTCTGGGGGTCCTCACCCGTGGGGATAGGGCCTGATCCCCCCCTTGGAGGAGCGCTGTGCCTGCTCTGCCAAGAGCTGACCCGCTTTCAGAGGAGACGATGCCGCCAGGGGACGGGAGCTGCGGCCACTGCAGCAACCGGGCAGAGGGCCTCGGGGCTGGCAAGGAGCTGGGAGGAAAGTCAGAGCCTCGGAGCTCTCAGCCCCTCGCCACCAGCCCCTCTGATTTCAGCCAGAAGAATGGTCGGGGACCCCGCATGGCTGGGGAAATACCTCGAGTATGTCGCAGAATTCCAGCTGCAAAAAGCCCCTGTCCTCAACCTCGATGGTAAGCGCTGCCCTTGGCATTTCTCCTGGCGCCCAGGCGGGCCAGGCCGGGGTCTGGAGCCTCGCTTTCCAGCCTGGAGCCCCCGCAAACAATAACAACCACAAGACCAGAGCAATTGAAACCGTAGCCAGCCTCCACAGGGGCCTGATATGGTCAGGCCTATGCTGGGTGCCGCCCCGCCAGGTCTCTTGAAGCCTCTGTAATGTGGTGACGTGGGCACAGTGGTCGTCTCTATGTCATGGAGGTGGACACTGAGGCTCAGAGAGGTTCAGAAACAAGGCCAAGGTCACAGTCAGGAGGAGGAGCTGGGAGGCACTGGCCTCTCCCCTGTTCCCCTCCCCCGTGCATCATTCAGTCAGTCAACAAGCACATGGGCCAGGCCCAGCTCCGGGATTGGAATGCATGTGGACCAAGACATTCTCCAGCCCGCGTGCACCTTACATGGGACATTGTAGTTCAGTCAATTTGCTAGAGACAAGTGCTTCAGAGGAGGGAGCCAAGCGGGCTGGGAGAGCCGAGGGGTAGGCAGGGTCTTGTGGGTCTTGAGGGTCATCATGAGGGCACGAGGGCCATGGCAGGATGTGAGCTGTCATCGGGGTGCTGGATGGCAGAGGGCAACGTGACCCCAGGGAGAGATGACGGTTGCATGCTGTGTGACTGACTGACCGATTGCTTGATTGTCTTCAGATCCCCTCCCTGTTCTCTTCCCTCCACAGCCCAGTGCCCCCCACCTGAAGCCTAGGTGGGCCCAGCCCCTGCGTCTTCCTGCTGCCTCCCTTCCCGCCCTGCTGCCCTCGCCGCCCTCTCCCAGCCTTCCCCACAGCTTGCCCAGGGGCATTCTGATCTCCTCTGCCACCCGAAGAAGCCCCTCCAGCCTGGGCCCGGACCCTGCCTCTCTGTGCCCCATTCCCAGCCTCTCCTAGCCTGGCCCACGGGCTTGAGCACACCCTGGATGGCGAGGAGGGGACGGGTGGTCCCCCAAGCTACCAGCAGCAGTCAGCACAGCGTTACAGTCCAGCAGATGGAGTCACCCTCTGTGTCCTTCAGGGACGGCTGTGAGGGGCCGGGCTGGCACTCCTCTGACCTGCCTTCACCTGCATCCTGCTCTGGGGCGGCTCCAGAGAGGTGCTCTGGGCTCCATGAGCCAGCACAGCACGTCCCTGCCCAGGTCAGAGGGGCCCTGAGTGGCCGTAGCGCCAGCCCATGCCTCCAGAAGAGCCAGGCGAGCACAGGCCCGTGTACCTGCCCAGCAGGTGAGCTGTGACGGGTCACCGCCCTCTGCTCAGAGCCGAGGTGGGGCTGGGGCCTGGGTGGAAGTTACCAACAGCTGCCCAGGCGGCCACCCACCAGCAGGACAGGCTCTTAGGAAACTGGGTTGGGGCCTTGATACTTATCGTCTGGAAATGCCAGAGACAGGTGTGACCAGGTCCTGCCCAGAATCGTCCTCAGCAAGGGCAAGGCCCCCGGGAGCCCACACCTCAGCGAGGCGACTTCCACTGCTGCCATGGCCAGCCATGCGAGGCCAGCATGATGGAGCGAACCGATTGGCCACCTGCGTGGCTTCCACCTGCAGCGCACGCACAAGCTGGGGGTGAGCAGGTGCTTAGAGCGCAAAAGCTTTCCTGGGAGCCAGCAAACCCAATCAGAAAAACATAGCGGACAATTATGACCACAAAGCACACACTCCTGCAGTCAGCGAGCAGCTGCGGAATTCGCATGGAGAGACTTAAGCACATCTCCTTACTCTGCGACCCTGAAAACTGGCTTGAATAATAAACATGTGAGATCCCTGCAGAATCATCACACTGTCGATACCTAATAATCTTCAAATTAACCTATACATTTCAAACAAGCAATCAATATTCCAACGGGATGTTTTCTCCCAAGTGCAAACTGGAGTCTAAAATCCACAGGAAAGAATAAAAACTTTGAAATCTTTTAGAGAGAAGAGTAACGCAAATCGGTCTACCATTTCACCATAACTGATATGAAAGTACAGGGGTTAAAATTGTGTGGCATTGGCTCAGGGACAGAAAGAAAGGTCAGTGAAACCGGATATAAAGTCAAGAAATGAACACAGGAAGTATAACAACTTCATAGATTACACAGATAATCCATCTTACAAAGTATTGTTTATTCCATAAATCGTATTGGAGGAAATGGCCAAGATATTTGGAGGAAAAAAATAAGGTTAGATCTCTAACTCTGCACATTATCTTAGAATTCATTCCTGATTAATTCTGAGTAAAAAGAAAGCTTGAAAGTTCTATAATATCTATAACATGGGGATGTCAACACCACAGATGTAGATATCGAGGGAGAAGACGGTAATTGTGAAAACCTTGGACTTCGGTCCATCAAAAACATCACCAACAAAATGAAAATACAAAGGACAACCTGAAATTAATGCTTTCAACAATGGTGACCAAGGGCGCACATCACATCCGTGGGTCTATTTACATCACAGCTCATCTGAGGACAGAAGGACACTGTGTCAGAACCACGAGCAAGAGATGCAGACCGGTCATCCGCACACACACCAGTCATGGGCCAATATAGGTCAAAAGAAGATTCCATTTCATAAGTAATACAAGGAAAAGAGATACCATTTTTGCTTATCAAATTGACAAAATGAAAAAAATTTTAAACGTCCATTAGCGCCCACCAAGTGGGGAGCATGCTCTTGTGAGGAGAGTGGAAATGGGATGGGCCATTCTGGGGTCACCCAGTTTCACAGCCCTTTTATTTTGTTTATTTATTTTTGAGGAGGATTGGCCCTGAGCTAACATCTGTGCCAATCCTCATCTATTTTGTATGTGAGCCGCTGCCACAGCATGGCTGCTGACGGATGAGTAGCGCTAGGTCCATGCCCAGGATCCAAACCCAGGCCGCCAAAGTGGAGCACGCCGAACTCAACCACGAGGTCGCCAGGGCCGGCCCCCACAGGCCTTTTAAATAGGCTTGTTCTTGGACCTGTGACCTCCAGACGTGAATGAGTTGACCTGTTTTCCTCCTGCAGAAAGCCAGGAGTTTACAGTGCTTTCACGTTGATCCCACGGCTTTTTTAAAGCAGAATCTTAGGACCCTCTCAGTCCGTCTCCCAGGCGTGTCCACGATTGGCAGGAAAAGTCGTGCCTGTCCGTCTGAGCTCAGCGCCTGAGCGCTGCTCGCTCCCACTCCCCGGGGCTGACCCGAGATAACTGAGACCAGCAGCTGCAGACGCAGGGCCTGTGGCTAGTGCCGTGCCTGTCTTATCTGTTTGGAAACAAGCATAGATTGTTTTGATTGAGCTGCTCTGTCCGTTCTGTCCCGTGAAGTGCTTGTCAACACTCCTCACTGTGTTAGCGTGTGAACGGCCGTGACTTGGGGCTGCGTCCTGCCTTGGTTGCCGGGGCTGCCAAGACGGAGTATGGCAGGCGGGCGGCGGAAACCGCAGAAGTTTACTTCCCGCAGCTCTGGGGGCTGGACATCCAGGGTCAAGGGGTGAGGTCAAGGTGCTTGTTCCTCCTGAGGCCCCTGTCCTGGGCGTGTGGACACCGTCTCCTCCCTGTGTCCTCCGTGGTCGTCCCTCTGTGCACGTCTGTGTCCTGATCTCCTCCCCCATAAGATCACCAGGCCTATTGGATCAGGGCCCACTCTACTGACCTCATTTTATCTTAATCAGCTCTTTAAAGGCCCTGTCTCCAAATACAGACACATTCTGGGGTCCTAGGGGTCAGGACTCCAACATATGCATCAGGGAGTAGGGGAGGACACACAATTCAGGCCATAACACTTAGTAACCCTGCTTTTACTCCCACAGAAGAAGGTTAAGAAGAGAGCCTTATTGGGGCTGGCCAGGTTGCATAGTGGTTAGGTTCGCGTGCTCTGCTTCAGCCGCCCACGGTCCACAGGTTCAGATCTCAGGCACAGACCGGCATGCCACTCAACAAGCTGTGCTGTGGCAGCATTCCACATGCAAAATAGAGGAAGGTTGGCACAGATGTCAGCTCAGGGCCAATCTTCCTCAAGCTAAAAGAGAAAGATTGGCAACAGATGGTAGCTCAGGGCCAATCTTCCTCATGAAAAAAAAAGAAGAGAGTCTTATTGTGGCTTCAGACCCTCCACCCAATACGGACTCTGGGTCCCTTCACTGTCATGAACCAATGGTCCTGAGCTCTGGCTCAACAGCTACAGAAAGCCTCCTGCAGGGGATGGCCCCTCTCCTGAACCTCAGCGGAGGGCGCTCCCGGCTGCCCATGTCTTCCTTGTGCTCTGAGCACTTTGGAACTTGCAAAAGAAAGGCCGTGAGCGGCCTCATCTCCCTGCTACACCTCAGGCTTCTTGAGGACGTGATTCTGATTTTCACTATTTTCTCCCCTCACTGCATCTGCGGACTGCCTCCACTGCAGAGCTCAGGACATATCTTTTTAAAACAAATAAATCAAATGCCCATAGCTTTAAAAAAATGAACTTGACATCCCTCTTTGTAACAATAGAGGAAAGATAAGCATTTGGCAGAACGCCTCTAGTTCACCCACATCCGACCACGTACGGGACAGACTGAGGCTGCCCCAGAGGTCAGGTGCAGGCACATACGCCGAGGACCACCCTCCACCCTTCAGGAGTGGGCTGAGGAATGTTTCGATTTTCCTGTCCATTTAATCCTTGGCCCTCTGGTGTATATAGATATATATTTTGTTTTTTTCTGAACTAGAGTCTTTCTCCATTTAAAAAAGTTCTAATTCTTGCCTCCAAAATTATCTCCGAGTCATCTACAATATACAGATATTAACACCACTGTGTATTAAACATTAATAACCATCCTTCTACTCTTTATCTGGCATTGGCCAAATTGGAGGGTTCAAAACGGCACAGAGAAAAAATTCTTTTGGACGAGTGTGAATTTTTATGTCTCTGTAGAAACCGGAAAGGGTTCAGACGCCCTGTGTCCGAGGGAATTGCTGCGGCCGGCCTGTGGGCGCGTCGGGCGCGTTAGGGCCACGGTCTCCTCTTGGGGTGCTGGGCCACCTTGATGAACTGAACCTGCGGGGGCGGGTAGAACGTCACATCCCAGTTGTATTCCGGCGACAACAGCTTGGTGGGCTTATTCAGGAAGAAATATTTGTTCAGATGGTTTTCGTAGCTGCTGTTCAGCCCATTTTGCTTGTCCTGAAGCACCCCTTTCAGATATTCTTCGATGAGGTTTAAAACCTGCTGGGGTGTGCCCCCAACGAAGGCGCTATCGTAATAGAAATCCCCCTTCCCATACGGGATGTAAGCCGCTGACCTGCGCCTCCTCTCGTAAGGGAAATCCTTGGTGCTTTTAAAGTACCACCAGGCGTGGAGCTGAGCGACGGACGCGCCCAGGGTCTCCACGCCGACGTCACTCTGGAAGATCTGGTTGGTGGCCATACTGAAGAGGAAGTCGACCTCGCCCTGGATGTGCTGGACGATGTGCTCGCCCAGGTTCCTCATGCGCAGAAGGTTGAAGTCCTGCCACCAGATCTCTTCTCGCAAAGTGAACACTTGGAACGTCTGAAGAGGCCCCGGGTCCACGTCGGGCATCTTGTCTAAGTCATCCACGGTGATATAGAAGACAACCCGATAGCCAGTCATGAAGTGCTTCTTCGCTGACTCTAAGAACCGCTCCAGGTACTGATCTGCAATCCTGCAAAAAACACACGCACGCACGCACCAAGGAAGATGCTCATTTCCCAAACGTTCCTGGAGAACACGCGCCATCAGACGCGGCATCTGCCGCGTGAGTCGCTGATGCCACAGAACTCCTGACAGGTAAGGGAAGGGAGGTTAGGTCCATGGTTTCAACTGCACTGGTCAGTGAAAGACATCGTGAACTGGGGGGCCGGGGGGAGCGGGGCTGAGAAAAGCCTTAAAGTTTTGGAACAACTGTTGGAAAGGGAGAAAGAGCACTAAATGCGTACTAGTAAAGCGATAGCCCAGGGTGTTGGTGACCCAGCTGTGGAAGGAGAAATGACCTGTCACATTTGCTGTACAGGACAGCCAGAGGCAGTGGCTGCAGTCACTGTGAGCAGCCCTTTGGAGACCAAAGGTCTACAGCTGCTCATTGCACTTTTCCAAGATAAAAAAGGACAAAGGCTAGTGGTCCCTACCTGCCGATGGCAAAGACAGCCAAGCCCATTGTGAGGTTCCGATTTCTGTAGTGCTTTCCTAGGACCCGTCTATTGAAGGTGCCTTCCCATATGACTGGAGCCAGCCAGTCCGTGGTCGTTATGACATCAGGGCGTCTTCTGTGAACAAAAAGGAAGCAAGTGATGCAGGGGCCGCCTTTGCTGTGACAGCAGCTGAGGCTGCCCAAGCGACAAGGCCGAGGCTCACAGGGCGCCCCCTGAGTGCTGGGCGGGGGTTCCAGCGCATTGCCGCTCATTTCATCCTTGCTGTGCCCTCTGCAGAGAGCGCCTCTAGCATCCCTGTTCTTCACATGGGAAACAGACGCTCAGACTGGTCAAGTGAGCTGCCCAGCGCCACAGAGTCAACATGTGTGAGTCAGGAGGCGAGATCCAGCCCGTTTCTGCTCTCGTCCTCACACCACCCACCTTTTGAGCCCAGGAGGTTCCTGCTCTGACGTCTGACTGCAGCTTAGACGTGAGCGCCCAGAGTCAGAACATCCTCTGACTGCCGTCTGAAGCCAATGCTGTGGACAGCACCGCTGCTCCCTCACGCCCGGGCTCGCCTGCCTCCTTCTCCCTCTGCTTCTCCTTTCCCTGAAAGATCTGGAAGAGTCTTTCGTTTTTTTACCTTCTCCCTCATGCTTTAAGTGCATCAGTGCAATCCAGCAGAAAACGGAGCAAGACATTAGATTTGCTTCCAATAACAACAAAATGACAACAGGATTTATTTATATTAAGATATGCAAAGCTGGTTCAACATTTGAAAATCGTTCAATGAACCTACTGTAGCAAGCGAAGGACAATCAACTGACACAGAAAAAAAAGCCTTATACGAAGTCCAACACCCATTCAGGACAAAAAAGAAAAGCTCAGAAACATAGGAACAGGGGGGAATGACCTGAACTTGATAAAGGGCATCTACAAAACTCCTAGAGCTAACGTCGTACTCAACCGCGAAAGACTGAAGCCTTTCTCCCCATGATGGGAACAAGGCGAGGACGGCCGCTCTCCCCAACTCTTACTCAACAGAGCGATGGAGTCCCAGCCACCACAACAAGGCGAGGAAAGAAGATGAAGCGTCAGATTGGAAAGGAAAAAGCAATATTGTTCCTATCTGTAGATAAACTGATTGTCTACATAGAAGATCAGCATATACAAAAAATCAATCTCATTTCGATACACTAACAATGAACATGCAGACACTAAATTTAAGAGCATGATGCTAGTTACAGTTGCTCCCGAGAAAACAAACTGCTTGGACACAGCTCTGTGCCCACTGGCAGTCCGTCTCCCTTCCCCCCGCCCCTGAAACCCCTGGCAGCAACTAATCCACTTTCTGTCCCTGTACATCTGCCTCGCCTGGAAATGTCATACGAATGGAATTAAATCCTGTGTGGTCTTTGGTGTCTGGCTGCTTTCACTTAGCACGTTTTCAAGGGTTATCTGTGTTGTGGCGTGAACCAGTGCTTCATTCTTTTTATGGCCGAATAACATTCCATTGTATGGACATTGTTTATCCCTTCATCACTGATGGACATTTCAGTTGCCTACATTTTCAGCTGTTATTAATAATGCTTCTGTGGACATTTATATATACAGTTTCTCTGTGAGCATATGTTGTTAATTCTCTTTGGTATAAACATACAGGTGGGATTTCTGCATCATACTGAAATTCCACGGTTAACTTTTTGAGGAAATGCCAAATTGTTTTCTACAGCCGCTGCACCAGTTTACATTCTCACCAGCAGTTTATGAGAGTTCAAATTTCTCCACATCCTTGGCAACACTTTTTGTGGTCCAGCTCTTTGATTCTAGTAATCCCACAATCCTTCTCCATCCCAGGGTGTGAAGCGGTTTGTCGGTGTGAACTTGATGTGCAGTTCCGTGATCACTGGTGACGTCGAGGACCTTCTCATAGCTTATTAGCCGTTTGTATATGTTCTTCGGAGAAATGTCTCTTCAAATCCTTTGCCCATTTTTTATTAGTATTTTTCATTTTGTTGTTTAATTGTAAGAGTTCTTTATATATTCTGGATGCTAGACCCTTCTCAGACACATGATTTGCAAATATTTTTCCCATTCTGTGGGTTGTCGTTTCACTTTCTTGATAGCATCCTTTGATTCACAGAACTTTTTAATTTTCATGAAGTCCATTTTACCTACTTTTTCTTTTTCTTTTTTGCTGTGTTTTTAGCTTATCAGATTGAGGAAGTTCCATTACTAGTTTGTTGCATGTTTATATTACGAAGGGATGTTGGATTTTGTCAAACAATTTTTCTGTATGTAGAGAGATGATCATGTGGGTTTAGTTTTTATTCTATTAATATGATGTCAACTTTGGTTGATTTCATATGTTGAATCAACCTTGCATTCCTGGGATAAATTCCACTAGTTTGTGGTGCATAATCCTATTTATGTATTACTGGTGCTGGGAGCCGTGGCTACATCATTTGATCGGCTGTTTGACAGGGTCCAGCCGATTAACGCCAAGGGGTGCAGGGCCGCCCCTTGGTGAAGAATAACCGGCCAACCCCTCACATAGTTCTGAAACCTGTGCTGCTTCTAATTGCCCTTCATTCCTCTTCCTATCTTAACCTCCAGTTTTCACTCCTTTGGGTGGCTGCTTGGGAGGCACTACCTCCTGGGAAAATTAGATATAGTAAGAGAATGTGACCACCTGCAGGTAACTTTCAAGATATTTTTCAGTTAATTAATGGATGAGCACACAGTCCCATTTGAGACAATCAGAAAGGAGTCCTGCCCAGATAAGATGTCGAATTAGGTTTATGGCCTCCATCTGGTTAATGTTTCCTTCTCCCTCCAGTTCTTTGTCTAAATATACATATGCATCGTCCTTCTAACTTTGCTGGTTAATTGGATGATCAAGAAGTATCTATATATTATTCTTGACCTTCTGCTTTCTGTTAAAATGTTATAGAGGTTTTCTCCTAAAAGCAATAAATAATAAATAATTGGTGAGTAGAAGGGCCGAGGGGTGCAAGAATGCCCCTCGGTGAAGGATGGCCGGCCAACACCCCCGATATTTTCTGAATTATATGCATGCTTTCTATCAAGGTTATGTGTATACTTATTTCTCTTTTTTATTCTTGAAGATATATAGTTTAGTTTAGCTTTTCAGCCCTTTACTTTACTAACAATATGATACTTTCTCCGGCAGTGTACTTAAGGGACCGTTAGCTCTACAATCTAAAAGACAAAGGAATGCTTCCACCCCCTAAAGGGCGCGAAAAAGTAAAGATGTTTAACTGCCCGCTGAGAATGCAGATAGCCCTGGGGATAAGACACCCTGGAGTCGCCTTTTGTTCCCATTAACCATCTACACTAATGGCGTAAATGATTGAGGGAGGCAGGGATGGCTCCACCAGGATGTAACCAGACAGACTGCTGTCCTGTCCGGAGGCCTGGACCTTCTCTCTTTGATTTAACTTTACCGTGAATTACAACAGATGCCTAGGTACCTATCTCCTTTAGTTTAGAGACAACAAACACTAGTTAATTGCAGAGAAGACGATCATTAACCTTATGCTCTATAGAATGGAATGCTAATAAATATTCTTGTGCTCGTTTTTACTTCCTTATCTCTCTGAGAATATTTGTAAAACTATTTCTGTACTAATCCTGAAAAATATATAAACGACACTTGTGCACAGTAAAGTCGGACTTGCTAACACCAACCCAAGTCTCACGTCCCCTTTATTTTCCCCCTCCCTCCTCGCGCCGACGCCGTCCATCCCTCAGGAACCTGGACTCCGCCGGGGCGGGACCCCGGCATACTGGGTTTGGTTTTCTAGCATTTTGTTGGACATGTTTGCGTCTCAAGTCACAGGAACCTGGTCGGTATTCCCTGCAACGTCTCTGTCTGGTTTGGGGATCAGGGTAACACTGGTCTGCTAGAATGAGCTCTCTTCTAATTTGGGGGAAAGTTTGTGAAAGATTCGTATTAATTCTTCTTGAAACATTTGCTTGAATTTGCCAATGAGGTTATCTGATCCTGGGCTTTTCTTCATGGAAAACTTTTTATTACTAATTCAATCCCTTTACTCATTATGGATCTACTCAGATTTTCCCTTTCTTCCTGAGTTTTTCTAGGAATTTGTCCATTTCACCTAGGTCACCTAATTTGTTGGCCTCCAACTGTTCACAGTATCCCCTTATCATCATGATTGTTTCTGAAGGGTGTGAGACCCTTCACTCCTGATAGTAATTTGTCTTCTCGTTTTTCACTTGGTCAATCTAGTCAGAGGTTTGTCAATTTTGTTGCTGTTTTCAAAAAACCAATCTTGGTTTCATTGGTTTTCTCTATTTTTCTGTTTCATTCATTTACTCTTTAATTTTTATCACTTTTTCCCTCTGCTTGCTTTGGTTTAATTTGCTCTTCACTTTCTATTTCCTTAATGTGTAAAGTTAGGTTATGAAGTCGAGCTCTTTCTTGTTTTTAATGTAGGCACCCACAGCTATAAGTTTCATTGTGAGCACTGTTCTCGCTGCATACAAGAAGTTTTGGTATATTGTGTTTTTATTTTCCATCACCTCGAAGCATTTTATGGTTTTCCTTGTTGTTTCTTCTTTGACCCATTGGTTACTCAGAGTGTTTTGTTTAATGTCTTCACATCTCTGACTTCCCCAAATTTAGTTTTTTACTGATTTCTAATTTTATTCCATTTTGGAGAGAGAAAAGTTTTGTATGATCCAAATCTTTTTGAATTTATTGAGACTTATTTCATCACGTAACAATAAAATGGTCCACCCTGGAGAACGCTCCCCGTGCACATGAGAAGAGTGAGCACTCTTCCGTGCTTGGAGGAATGGCCCACAGAGGCCTCTTGGGTCCAGTCTTCAGTGTTCTTCAAGCTTCCATTTCCCTGTTGGTTCTCTGTCTAGTTGCTCTGTTGTTATTGAAACTGAGGTGTTGAAGTCTCCCCCTATTTTTGTGGAGCTATTTCTCCTTTTAATTCTGTACATTTGTGCTTCGTGTATTTTAGACTCTCTTGTTGGGTGTATACATGTTTCTCACTGTTACAGCTTCTTGATGGATTAACTCGTTTATCATCATAAGATGTCCTATTTTGCCTATGGTAGCAATTTTTATCTTTGTCTATTTTGTGTGGTATTAGTAGCCACTCCAGCTCTCTTCTGGTTATTGTTTGCATTGTACACCTTTTAGTTCAACCTAAATTAGGTTCACGAGTGTCTTTAATCTAAAGTGTGTTTGTAGCCAGCATATTGTTGGATCATTTTTAACCCATTCTAACAGTCTCTGCCTGTTCATTGGAGTGTTTAATCCATACACAACATGTAACCACACAATGGCTGTCTTGCTATCTGTTTTCTATCCGTCTTCTTTCCTTTTCCTTCTTTTAGACTTCCACTAATACCTTCTATGGTGGTAAATAGATATTTTCTAGAGTAACATTTGAATTCACTTCTTCTTTCTTTTGCTGTATATATTTTAGTCATTTTCTAAGTGATTGTCTTGGGAATTATAATTAATAGGTTAATTTGTAACAATCTAGATCAACTAAGGTCAACTTAATTTCAATAGTATACACAAACTTCACATCCGTATAGCTCCATTTCCTTTCCTGTCTTTGTGCTGTTACTAGCATACTAATTACATCTTTATACATATTGTAGCCATCAACACAGATTTATAATGATTGCTTTATGCAGCTGTCTTTTAAATTAGATAGGAGAAGAAGGGAATTACAAACAAAAATATATTTAATCTGTCTTTTATATTCACCTGTGTAGTTACCTTTGCTGGTGTTCTATATCTCTTTCCTTGGATTCAAGTTACTGTCTGGTGCCCTATCATTTCAGCCTGAAGGACTCCCTTTAGTATCTTTCATACAGCACTTCCGCTAGTGATCAATGTTCTCAATTTTTGTTTTTCTCTGAATGTCTGAATTTCTTCTTTTTTTTTAAGGATAGTTTTTCTGGATGTAGAAGTCTTAGTTGACGGTTTTTTTCTTTCAGCATTTTTTACGCTTCATCCCACTGCCTTCTAGCCTCCACGACATCTGATTAAAAATCACCTGTCAATCTTCTTGGATCAATTCTCTCACCGCTTTCAAGATCCCTCTTTGTCTTTGGGTTTGATGGTTGGACTGTGATCTGTGCAGCAGCGGAACTCTGAGTTTATCTCCTCTGGAGCCTGCTGAGCTCCTCCGGTTTCTGATCCTTCCTTCCGCCTGCTCAGGTCTACGGCGAGCTCCTCCAGTGGGCTTCTTATTTCAGACCTGGCACTTTTCAACTCCAGAATTTCTATCTGGTTCTTTTCTTATAATTTCTAGACCTTTATTGATGTCCGCATGCTGATTTGGAGTCTTTGCCCAGTAAGTCCAGTCCCTGGGCTTCTGCAGGGCTAGTTTCTGTTCATTGATTTTTCCTTCTGTACAAACCACCCTGTCCTGTTTGTTAATTATTAGTTGAAAAATAGATAATTTATATAATATAATGTGCCAACTCTGGAAATCAGGTTCTCCCTAACTGAGCAGAGATTTCAGTGGCCAAAACCAACAAAGAATACACTTTACAAAATTAGTTCAGAAAAGTCATTAAACAAGCAAACACAACAACAAACAGCCAAATAAACCCTGGGGAGGGCGGGAGAATCTGACTTAAGGTCACTGTGGAGCTGGGCAAGCTACAACACCACAAAGCACACTTTTCTTACTGAGAGTCAGCTGTTTTTCTTGAGCAAATGCTCCCTAGATTGTTGCGAGCATTTGGTTAATTTCCAGACTTCTGAAGAGTTGATTATAACAATTTTTGCAAGTTTTCTCATTGGTTTTATGGAGGAGAAAAATTGGAAGTTATTGCTCTATCATTTTTGGTGATATGCTCAAACACAGTATTTACAGAAATGCAAATTGAAGTGCAATATTTTAATTAACAGTTTGCCAAGAATAAAAGGTTTTATGATACTTTGATTATTAAAGGGAAATTTAGCAACCTACATCAAAATTTTAGACATCTGCCTTCTTTGACCTAATGACTCCGTTTGGGGAATTATCCTACAGATAAACTTACTTCCAAGAGCCCCGAACTGTGAGCAATCTCACGCCAGTAGGGCAGGGGTCACGTGAACTGTGGTGATAACCAGGAAGTAGAAGACCGCACGACCCGCGCACAGACCAGGTCCCACTCAGCTGCCGAGCGGCATTTTCAAGCTGCCACCAGAGATTTTCTTTCACTGAATAAACCAGGAAGGTTAAGCCCAGAAGAACATGTCAGTATTAGCCTTAAAAATTAAAACCCCAACTACTGGACACCTCCCAGGACAGCTGTAACTCGGTTGTTGGAAAACAAACCCATGGCTCCGAGTTGCATCCTCCGTGAGTGAGCAGATGTTGTCGTTCTCACCTGGGACGAAACCAGTCTGAGAGCTGAAGTTCTTCCCCTTGGTTCCTGAGCGTGAAGGGAAAACCGAGTTATTTTGAGTAATCCATCTGTTCAACACGCGTTTCCTGAGCCCCCGTGGCACAGCAGGGGCTGCTGGGTGCTGGTTCTACCCCTGGGAACTCACAGCCCAGCCCCTGCCCTTGGGGAGCCCTCAGCAGAGAAGGCGGCCCTAGGCAGATGCAACAGTCCCAGTGGGAGGTGCTGATGGGAGTGGCGGGGCCCTATAGGAGCTTAAGTGGCACGTTCCACCCAAATTTGGGGCCAGGGGAAGCCACTGGGAGAGGAGATCTCACCTGGGTCTGGAAGGAAACAGGTGGTCAGGAAAGAGATGTAGAGTGAGGACGTGACGGCCAGAGGGAGGAAGGCAAGAAGGAGTGTGTTGTCAGGAGGAAGGATTCAAAAACCAAAACTAACAGCAGATTGGAGAATGTGGATGCGGACAAAATGCAGGTGAAGTTCACCCACCCGTCACCCCTGAGTGGCTTTGTCAAGTGTTGATGGAAAGGGTTGGAGTGGGAGTCAGGAGTCCACTTCAATTTTCATTTAAACACATGAGTCATCTAGAGTTTTATGGTGGTTTTAAGTTAATTAATCAATTAATGGGCTTATTAAGCAACTTCCTTCTGTAACCTTGGGATATTTCGTGAAAAAGAGAAATTACTTTGAGAGGACACCTGTCCTGACAGTGACAGAGGTGAACTTTGCCTCAGAGACTTCGGTATTAGATTCCCCAGGATCGCCCGTGCCGACCATCACGAGAACGGGAAGTGACTTTACTAAAAAGTCGCCCTTCCTTAGAAAGTTGGTCTGTGAATCCCTGGGGTCCTAGGAAACCATCAACGAGTAGAAAACGTGGCTGGCTGGAGAGGGGATCCCGAGGCCAAGAAACCATCACTCTCGGAGGAGATGCTGCACCTGCAGCAGAGTCAGCCTGGTCCAGGCCAGCAGGGGCAGGGCCGAGCCAGCGAGGCTCAGAGACGGACGCCCCCGGCTCCGTGTCGTTTACTCCTTCACAGCGGGCCAGGACCACCAGCCCAAACCACAGTCTCACACCTCCCATCGCTTTCAACGTGGGCTGCACAAGCCCGTTTACAGCTTGGTCTACAAACCCCACAAAACTGCGCCCAATGTCTGCTCACCGGGGAGAAACCCAGACCGGGCTGCCCTTCTGGGTGGCTGTCCTGCCCCAGTCTCTAGGTCCGCTGCCCAGTGAAGCCTGTTGTGCAACGCTGCCCCCTCATGTCCTGTCCTGCCTCTTCCTCCATCAACACCAAATGCACACACATATGCACGCGCACTACGGACGCACTAATCCACACGTAGAGGTGCAGGTGTGTAGACTATTTCTGAACTGACAGGCAAGAAAGCCAACAGAGGTTGCCTCTAGGATGTCAGCCTTTGGTTTTCTGTTCCTCTTGGTTCCGTCACCATTGGAACCCACCCCCGGTTCCTGCCAGCTTTGCTTTCCAGTTTGTGGAATCTTTATTTAACAAAGATTCTTGCTCAATGAGATGCCTCTTCTGTAGGGAGGTTTGCCAGACAGAATCCAGGCACCCATTCGATTTGAGTTTCAGATAAGCAATGAATAATGTTTTAGCGTATGTCCCAAAATATCACATGGGGAATCATGGCTAAAGTGATTCGTTGTTTACTGAAAATTTGTATTGGATTTTATTTGCTAAATTTGTCAGCCCTATCAGTAAAACTTATTCTTTAAACAAAAGAAATCATTTAAAGTTTTGAATTTGAACAAAGACCTATTGCAATCTGAATAACAAAAATTCTAGAATTCAGACGCATTCACTCTCTTTTTAACCAAATCATACTGACACTATTCACAGGTGTGAGGCCACAGCTGAGGGTAACCTGTCATTGTCACCTTCAAAGAGATGATCTTTACACCGTGACCACTGGCCAGGAATCCTTTCCTTAAGGTGAAAGGCACAGGAAGACACACAACACAAAAGACATGATACCCAAGAAGCAGGATTAATGTTTTCTTCTCTGATTTTGCATTTGCTTTTCTTTATTTCTCCTTCTTTTTTAATACTTTATTTTTAGAGGAATTTTACAGAAAAAAATTGTAAAGATGGAATCCCTGGCACCCAGCCCCCCACCATCAAAAATTTGCATTTGTGCCGTACGTTGTGCAGTTACTGAAGCAACATTGACACACCGTTATTGGCATGAGTCCGTGCTTCTGTCAGACTTCCTTCGTTCTGCCTCATGTGTTTTTCTTCTCCGGGACCCCATTCAGGACCCACATGATGCTCCATCCTCACGTCTGCTTCGGCTCCTCTTGGCTGTGAGTTTCCGGACTGTATCATGACATATCTGTGCTGACGCTGACCCTGCCACCTGGCTGAGGTCGTGTTTTCAGGATTCTCCAGTGTAAAGCTGCTCTTTCTCTCCCTTTCCACATGGTCATCTTTATGAGAAATGCTGTGGCCGCCGCGCAGAAGGAGCAGGGGTTATGTCCACCTCCGCGAGGAGGGCATCTCCACCAATTAATTAGAATTCTTATGAATGGGAAATTTGTCTCTTCTCTCTCATTTTTTTTTAAGATTGGCACCCGAGCTAATCTGTTGCCGATCTTCTTTTTCCTTCTTCTTCTCCCCAAAGCCCACCAGCACATAGTTGTATATTCTAGTTGTGGGTCCTTCCAGTTGTGGCATGTTGGACATGCCTCAGCGTGGCTTCATGAGTGGTGCCATGTCTGCGCCCAGGATCCGAACTGGCGAAATCCTGGGCCACTGAAGCAGAGTGGGTGAACTTAACCACTCAGCCATGGGGCTGGCCCCTCTCGCATTTATTTATTAGTTTATTGAATCATTTATTTAAGTCAGTGTGGACTCACGGATTTGTTTTATAATGTGGGTTATAATCCAATACTACTTTATTTTATTGCTCAAATTCTTCCGACTTTACCCACTGGGAGCTCTTTCACTTGGCTCCTGCATTCCTTTGACATACTCTCTTCAACACAGAGGATTTGTTCTTTTTGAGAATTTCCTTATATTCTGGCACTATTAGAGCCTCCAGGCCCATCTTGTATATTTCCCGCCCCAATCCTAGAATCAGCCATTCTACAGTTTGTTTTTTAGAATATTATTAGAAACTAAGGTTTGGGGCTGGGCGTGCTCGCGGCTGCTGGGGGCTCTCAGCCGAGAGAGCGAGGGAACGCACGTGTGCGCACCCACCCTTGCGAGACGGGGATCTAGAAACATGTCCACGTGTGACTCTGTGTTGTATGAAGCTGAACAAGAGTGCAGGCCGAAGTCTCCAGCGCTAACCTGTCTCCACATGGATCCAGAGCCGCCGCCGGGACCCCCTCAGGCAACGACCTGATCAGCTGGGGAGGCGCCGTGTGCAGCTCCCTCAGCTCCACTCCTTCCCCGCATCTCAGGGAGCTGGCTTCAGGCATTTCCGAGACCCTTAGATCCTTTTGTCACATTCAGCATTCCTTCCCAGAGCCTCTCCGCCTCCTAGAGGACTTTTTGGTTTATATGTAACGTCCACTCTTTGCGCTGCAGAATGCTGTGCGTTTGAAAAGCGCAGTGTCCATCATTACAGGATCATACAGCATAGTTCCACCCCCCCAAAAGATCCTTCCTGCCTCACCTCTTCACTCCTCCCCGACTCCCCACCTCCCGAAACTTCTGGCAACCACTGACTTTTTCACCATCTCCATGGCTGTGCTTTTCCAGAATCTTGTACAGTTGGAATCAGACAGTGTGCAGCCTTTTCAGACTGGCTTCTTTCACTCAGTCACACGCATTAAGGTTCCTCCATCTCTTTTCATGGCTCGATAGCTCATTTCTTTTTGGTGCCAGTAAGGTTCCACTGTCTGGATGGACCGCAGTTGGTTTATCTGTCCACCCGCTGAAAGACATCTTGTTTGCTTCCAGTTTTTAGCAATTATGAATAAAGCTGCCACAAACACCTCGTGTGGGTTGTTTGAGGACGTAAGTTTTCAAATCACTTGGATAAATACTCAGGAGCCCGATTGCTGGGTCATTGGAAAGACTATATTTAGCTTTTTAAGAAACTGCCACGCTGTCTTCCGAAGTGACGGTACCATTGTGCATTCCCACCAGCAGCACAGAGAGTTCCTGCGTCTCCACATCCTCGCCAGCATCTAGTGTTGTGAGTGTTCGGGACTTAACGTCCTTCTAATAGGTGTGCGATGGCATCTCATTGTTTTAATTTGCAATTATCTAACAGCATATGATGTTAAGCGTCTTTCCATATGCCTGCTTGCTATCTGTACAACTTGTCTCGTGAAACGTCCATTCAGATCTTGCCCTTTATTTATTTTTTTTTTTGAGGAAGATTAGCCCTGACCTAACTACTGCCAATCCTCCTCTTTTTGCTGAGGAAGATTGGCCCTGAGCTGACATCCATGCCCATCTTCCTCTACTTTATATGTGGGACATCTACCACAGCATGGCTGCCAAGCGGTGCCATGTCCGCACCCGGGATCCAAACCGGCAAACCCCAGGCCACCGAGAAGCGGAACGTGCGCACTTAACCGCTGTGCCACTGGGCCAGCCCAAGCTCTTGCCCATTTTTAAAGTTAAGTTGCTTCCTTACTGTTGAATTTTAAGAGTTCTTTGCATCTTTTGAATACAAGCCTTTGATCAGATACGTCTTTCGTAAAGGTTTAATTTTTAAAGACATTCTCTCTCACAGTAGGACTACTTCTCAAATAGCATCTGGGAAGACTGCGTGGCTTATAAAGGAGACCATGCGGCGTGGGCACGGAGGAAGGAAGAATTGGAATTTTTCTATATAAGAGAATTTTAGCAGGTCAACAGATGCGTCCCCCCTACACACACGCTGCCGTAGCCGGTGGCTTTTAGTCTTGTTCGCATCAGACACAGATGGGACTTCGAGACAGTTGACAGCTTGTCTGAAATCGCGACCCAGGGCTGTGCCTTCCCTAGCTTTGGTTTTTCCTCATGACATTGATTACGTGAAATACGACCTTGCTGACATTCTGTTTTATGTTTATTGTCTGCCTTCGCCATCTGGAATGGAAAACTCCATGCGGGCCGGCGCTTTGGGTTCCTGCCCCTCCCTCAGCCCCTGGAACAGAGCCTGGCCCCCGGACAGCTCTCAGTAATAAGTGTTGCACGTTTGAAAATGAAGGAATTAAAGGATGTATCCTTTGCTTTGTTCAGAGACGAGGTAATGTCTGATCAGTTTTGAGAGTGTTACTAATATCTTTGGACAAAACTCATCAGTTTAGAGCATCTCTGCCGGTCATTACAGGTCATGATTCGTCAATATTTTGTATTTACCTGGAATAACGCTCAACCACCATGAGTGATAAAACACACGAAATCATTAGCAGCATTTTTTTTCTTTGAAAATTCATCGTCTCCTAGAGGAAAAAGAAGAAAAAAGTAGATTGTAAATGGTAAAAAGTGACACCTTTGCTGCCTTCCAACGATGGATTAATGGACTCGTTGATAGACGTGGGGACGCCACCTAAGGATCTGCTGGGAGCACTCAGCCTCAGGGCAAACGTCTGCTCGCTGTGGGGAAACCGCTGTCGGCTGGAATCTCCTCAGGGCGCTGCCCCTCCTCTGCCTGAGCGCCCGCAGCCTTGGACACTCCTGATTCCCTTCAGTGTCCACCCTGACGGCATAAGAGAAATGCAGTCAATCTCTCCAGCAGACGGCTGTGGAACTGAACTGAGCTCTTGACGGGGAAGTGTTCCTGGACTAGGAGGAGGTCACCTGCCCCAGAGTTGGCTTTTTATTCTTTTTCCTCACAGAAGTAGTAAGATGGATCATTTGTCCCAAGACTAGGGTTGTCTGAACACATGAGCTCCCTCAGAGGCAGATGCTTGTAAACAGGCATTAAAGTCTAACTTCAAGGCATTCAGTTATAACACGGAACTTCTGGCTCCAGCCGATGCCCAGAGCTTATCTTGGAAGTTTGACATGGGATTTCTGTTCACAAGCCTGTAGCATTCTGTGTTGAACCTGGAATAAATAGAGGTCTCTGATCCTTCATTTCTTCATTTCTCCACATTCATTTAATGAGCAAGATGCTCTGGATCTGCACCAGCCAACCCAATAGCCACTGGCCACATGTGGCCAATGAGCACATGAAATGTGACAGGTCTGACTTGAGATGTGCTGTGAGTGTACAAAACACACTGTGTTTTGAAGACAAACACAGGATGAAAGGAAGAAATTAAAATATCTTGTGAATAATTTTATATTGATCACATATTGGAACAATATTGGAGTTAAATACAAATATATGATAAAATTTAATTCACCCGTTTCTTTTTACCTTTGGTAATGTGGCTACTAGAAAAGTGGACATTATAAAAGTGGCTCACATTCTATTTCTACTGGACAGTTCTTCTTTAGACAACACCACACTGGGCTGGCTTCCGTTGGGCAGTTTCATGTCCCCACACTGTGACGCTGACCATCTGTTAAATTCCAGGGCATTAGAAATGCCACCTGGATGACATAGGAAAGGGGTCTTTCTAGCAGTGTGCCCTGGTGACATCACTCCCAAGGCAGGTGACACTTCTCCTGCTATCATCGGACTCTCCCATCTCCCCAGTGATGGTCCCGGTACCTTGGTGAGCCAGCCGAGGACGTCCTATGAGGATGGACGTTTTCCAAGCGCTCTGTCCTTGGGTCTCTGTACAGTCATGAGCCTGATGCTATGCCCTGCTCTCATGGGCCAGAGCCTTCTGTGGGTGGTGACGTAGGCACACCCTTTGATGATGCAAGCATCAGAAAGTCAAAGTCATAATGATGCATCTGCCAGCACGGCTTCTCGTGGTTGCCAGACGACGGGACTTTGTCCTGTTTGAAAAATTAAAGGATATTTTTAAATGCTCTGTTGCCTTTCGTTTCCTCTGCTGTGCCTCCTTGCTTCCTAATGCCTAGTCCTTGCTCACGGGGAGATACCTGGCATGGCATGTGTGTTTATGTATACAACGGAGAAAAGGGCAAACAGCCTTCTCTCTTCATCCTCTGGGCCAGGGCCAATTCACCCCAGGAGAGCAAGTCCCTTCTTACACTTTTTAGAATGTTCTTCTAAGTACTTATTTTTTTCTGATTATAGAAATAACACATTTTCATGTTATGAGATCAGTCAGATGCAAAAAAGCACAAGGAAATGAAATGGAATCTCCCCATCCTGGGATAACCGCCTTAATTTGTGATCAGAATGTGCACCTTTATTTATTTTGCCAAAATTATCAATGTTTCTTCTCCAGCTTCTGAGTTCTGCTCAGAAAGTCTTTTCCAACTTTAAGGGCAAAAATATAATCTTCGGTATTTTCTTCTAATTCTTTACCTGTTTGGATCGTTGGGCGTTTACTTTTGGCAACTGTTTCACTGTGGTGCTCCCGTCCCGCTGAGACGCGACTCTGCTGGAGGCGGAGCGATCACGCATTTTCTACGCGGAAATCCATCACCCAGCAGCATCTCCAGAGCGGCCCATTTGAAACATGAACATTCTCGTGAAATAAATTTCCATTCCTAGACTCTGCCTCATTGATCTCTTTATCTCTTCCTGCAACTACACTACACTGTCTTAATTACTGTACGTTCATACTGTACTTAATGCTTTAATTGAGTATAACTGAATATAAACCGCACCTACTTAAAGCACGAGATGTGACAAGTTGTGACATATACACAATGGCAGACACGTAAAACCATCCCCTTCACCCCCCAAAACCTTCTCCTGCCCCTCTACGGTCCCTCCCTCCCTCACTGCACCCCAGTCCCAGCCCGAGAGTCACTGATCTGCCTTCTACTGCCGTGGATTTTGCGTCTTCTCTGGAATTTTACATAAATGTCCTACTGTGTGTGCCTTTTTTGCTCAGCAAAATTATTTTGAGATTTATCCCGTGTGGTTGCCAGTCTTGAGTGTCTTTCTTTTCCCAGCAAGGCAAAGCAAACCGACGCACCCACAACACACGGGCTCTTTTCAAACTTTTTCATGACTTATTGTTCACCCGCATCTCTGGGCGATTGTCACAGCCTCAGTAACTACCCTGTGGCATCGTGGCTGTGGGGGTGTCAAAGGCGCAGAGTTGTTTGTGGAGAATATGTTTTTATCCCACGGAGTCTTTCCACCCAGGAACACGGCCACATCTGCCTGGTCTCCAAAGCTTCTGTTGGTTCTTCAGGAAAGACCGTCGTTCATTCGTGTGGATCTTGCTCATTTTCACATGATTTCTGTCATCATCGTGAACAAGACCTTGTTTATCGCATTTCCCATGACCACCACGTGCCCACAGGAAGGCGATGGCTTTGTGGACAGCCCGCCACCCAGCAATGCTCTCGCCGTGCCCAGGCGGAGACCTGCGGGCACGTGAAGACCAGGGGCTCTGCTTCTGCAGTACGTGCCCTTCTCGTTTGTTTTTCTTCTTGCGTTTATTGCGAAGCACCTCAAGTGTGTAATAAGCCGTCCTCCTTTGTCCCATTCCTGTCTTTGGAAGAACGCCTCCAGAGTTCCACATGAGGAATGGCGGCTTCCTCTCGTGGACGCCCTTTATCAAACTAAGAGTGGCATCGTGGCCTGCTGGATCATGTGTGGTGGCTGAATTTCATAAAAATTTCTTGGCATCTGGGAAATGATTTTAGTTTTCTTCCTTCAACTGCTAAAGTAACGAATCGTGGGCCGGCCCCACAGCCGAGTGGTTAAGTTATCGCGCTCCAGTTCAGCAGCCCAGGGTTCACTCGGATCCTGGGTGCAGACCTATACGCCACTCATCAGGCCATGCTGTGGCGGCGTCCCACACAGAAGAACTAGAATGACCTACAACTAGGATATACAACTATGTGCTGGGACTTTGGGGAGAGAAAAAAAAAGGAAGATTGGCAACAGATGTTGGCTCAGAGCCAATCTTCCTCACCAAAAAAAAAGTGATGAATCACACTACAACATCTTCCAAGGTGGAGTTGTTCCTCCACGCCTGGGTGTGAGGTGTAATGTTTTACTACAAAACTAGAGTCGGTGTGCCAATGTTTTATTGGGAGGTTTGAATCTGTCCCTGAGTGAGGTAGACCCGAATTCTCTTTTCTGCACTTGCCTCGAGCGCTCTGGACACAGGACGGCAGCACCCAGAGGTGCGAGGAGAGCGCCTGACACTGTCTGCAGCTTTCATAGCTCATGGACTTGCCGATCCTGGGGGCCCGGCTCCCCACCTGCCTCTGGGTCCACTCGGTCACGAATGCAACTCTGCCCTGTGCACCCTGCCTGGGGCCTTGGAGTGGGTTGAATAGGGTACCCCCAAAACTCACGTCCATCTGGAACCTCAGAATGTGGCCTTATTGGGAAAAAGGGTCTTTGCAGATGTGGTTAAGGTAGAGCTTGAGATGAGATCACCCTGGACGTAGGATGATCCCTAAACCCAGAGACTGATGCCCTTAGAAGAAGAGGACGCACAGAAGCCACGTGAGGACAGAGCAGAGGCTGGAGAGACGTGGCCACAAGCCGAGGAGCCTGGAGCTGCCAGAGAAGAGTCCTCCTCCGGAGCCGCTGAAGGGAGCACGGCCCTGCAACACGTGGATTTTGGACCTCTGGCCTCCAGCACTGGAAGAGGATGAATTTCGGTTGTTTTGAGCCCCTCGTTTGAGGTCCTTCGTTACAGAGACCCCAGGACACTGACACAGGCTCTTGGGTGTCATGACTCCACTTTGCCCACGAGAGACCTGAGATAGCAAGAGGTCAAATGATGCACAAAATCCCCCTCTGGTGCAGAGACAGTACCAGAAGCCAGGTCCCTGGCCCCCAGTCCCAGGTCCCCCCATTGACCGTGGAGCCCTGGACATTGGTTTTTCTGGGCAGGCCTGAGGATTAAGACAAGCCACCTCAGTCCTCACAGTTCTGGAAATTTCTCAAAGTTCTCTGGTGATAGGAATCAGAACTGTGCCTGCCTGGGAGAAGGCACAAGAGAACTTTCTAGAATGAAGGATAGGTTCCCCATGTTGACTGAGGCATGGGATATCGGGTGCCTCATGTGCCAAAACCTATCCACATGCACATTTAGGACGTGTGCGTTTCACTGGACGCAACTTTCATCTCCACAAAAACAAACGAGACAGACTGTTACCTGAGTTTCCCGCCCCGTTCTGGAGGGAGCCCTGCCCGGGGGCTGACCGGGGCAGTCGGTGGTTCCACTGCTCCGACATGAGTGCCCAGCTGGATCCTGGCCAGGTGACCACACTCTCTGCCCCCCACGCCGGGCCACTGCTGCCCGAGGCCCTGCCTCCCTCACTGGCTCCGTGAAGCGGACACATCGACACCTCAGAGCTGAGGCTCACGCTGCGGCCGATGCGCTCCCCCACCCAGAGCACCTACAGGGAGAAGATGCCACTCTGGGAGGTGCAGCCCCCGCCGTCCCAGAAGGTTCCAGAGAGTGCGCCACCTTCCAGCTTGGGGCCCTGGGAGGGAGCTTGGGGTCCTGGTCACAGCTCGGCCCCTCCCGGATCCCCCCAGGCTATGACCTCCTAGGGGTCAGGCTTCTCAGAACATGGAGCTTGCTGGAAGGCCAGGAGGGTGAGAATGTGGGGAGGGGCCTGGGCAGGGGAGAGGACGTGGGACGTCACACTCACCTGTGCGCTGTCCAGGATGAATTTCCCTAGGAAGCTGAGACAGGGTGTGACCGGGGGGGGTCTCTCCCTCACCCCCACTGCCATGCGCCGTCCCGTCCAAAGGCCACTTCCCAGAGCGGAGTCAGAAGCAAGGCGGCGGCAGCTCCTCTTCTCGGTTGACCTCAGAGAGGGACGTGGCCTCCTGAGGGGACAGGGCGTCACCTTCCGAGGCCAAGCCGACCCCATTCTCCGCGGGACCCCTCAGTACAGGAGGAACTCCCGCCCACGCGCAGGTCGCGTTCCTACACGTTCCCACACGCGGCCCCTCCTGCTGTGGTCAAGGGGACTTTGGAGATGCAAGAGGCTTGGGGGGGGCGAGCTGGCCCCTCCCCACAGCGCGGTTCTCAGGTCCTCAGCTCACCTCCGGACCCTCTGGAGTCCTCTCTGAGAACTTCAGCCGGTTCTGACACCAAATTCAGGACACTGAGGACCTGTCCTCCCAGCCGGGCTCCTCAGCCTGCGAGACAGGGGCGTGCTGTGGAAGGCGAGACCCCCTTAGTGCCCACAGCATCCTCTCCTCCGACTGAGCGGAGGGCTCTCCTGCCCGCCTTCCAGACAGCACCCTCGGGAGCAGGCTCCCCAGTGGGTGGAGCGCTGACATGGACAGACCCAGGGCCCATCCTGGAACCCCACTTCAGTCTCCCTCCAGGAGACTCACAGTCCATGTGGAGAACCCAGGAACGCCGGCCTGGAAGTGTGCCTCCCTTCCCGCCACAGTGTCCTCCTCCGGCGAGGGAAGGAGGAGGTGGGGTCAGGGCAGAAGAGGACGTCTGGCCTGGAGGCTCCATGCTGGGGAGTGGCTGGAGCGGGACACTGAGGGGGAATCAGAAGAACATTTCACACTCCGGGATCACAACCACCATGGGGTCCATCGCAGGTTCAGAGGGAGATGCTGTCCCCACTCTGGGTCAACCAGACCCACCCCCAGAAAGGGGACCTCGGGGCCCTTTGCTCACAGGTGCGGGAAGATGGGCTGGGAGCAGGAGTAGCCTCGCCCCTTAGAGCTTGCCCCGCCGGCTCCAACCTGCCCCTTGGAGCTCGCCCTGCCACCTGCACCGGCCTGCCCGTCCCCCTGGGGCAGGGTGTTTGGGCTGCAGAAGCACCCAGGGGGCGCGGACCTGTCGTCTGGGTTCCCTCAGGACGTCCCGGCTGGAGGCGACATCCGTGGTGGCCTAAGAAAACCTCTTGACGTGACTGTTGGTCATCAGAGCTCTCGGGTGGTCTGCTGAAGAAGGTTCCTTCAGCAGGTGAGTGGCACACCTGCTGTGGGGGGCACATTAGGGGACTGGGGGCTCACAGCTTGTTAGTAGCAGAAGGAAAGCACAGCTACCGAGTCCTTCTCTCCACCAGGGCATCACTCCACCTCTGCTTTCGGCCCAAGGCCCGCTCCCTGTACCCCGTGGAGGTCAGGGGACCCGGCCTGGGCTGGCCTGGCAGGAGGCCCAAGAGGAGCCCTGTGATCCTCCACACACTACAGCTCGACAGATTCCTGTCAGGAGGTCCTTGAGTGTCACTGCCAACCACGTCCGCCGACCTGTCAAGGCCTTCTCTAGTCGGCCTGGAGCTGCCCTGTGGAGAGCCATCCCCGAGATCTAGAGAGGGAACCAGGGAGAGGCACCTGTGTGGGCACCTGCTCCCAGGTAGGAGGGCGTCTGCCGGGATGGCTGCTCCCAGGGGAGAGAGCGTCTGCCGGGATGGCTGCTCCCATGATAGGGGATCTGTTTCCAGTTGGGGAGAAATGGTCATATGTGGGTCCCCACAGGTCTGTGGTTGGAGTAGGAAGTCACTCTGAGACCCACATGTCTGGAAATCTGTGGATGCTCCCAATTTCTGGGCCGCTCAACCAGGTCCCCCAGGGAAGGGAGGGGTCTGCATGAAAGCTCCGAGCCCTCCAGGAAGCGTGACTCATGCATTTGCCAGTTCGCGGAGCACTTGCCTGTGAATAAGATAAAGTGTGGACCAGGGAAGTGGTGGAGGGCACCGACCCTGGACGTGGGTCAAGGTAGGGGTGTTCTGGGTCCAGACCAGGCTCCAGCTGATTGTCAGCAGAAGCAGTTTCATGTTGGAAGAGCTGGTGGGACACCGCGTGTCCACAGAAGTGAAGACATGGAAGGCGGTGACCGGCTGAGGTGGCTCCCTGCCTCCTTTGTGTCTTCCTGAGGGTTAGATCCTCCAGGCCACGTGACAATTCTGGGTACCTGTGCTGCCTGGGTCATCTTTATGTGGATGCCTGGTCATAGTCTGTGAGGAGAATGTGAACCTGAAGGAGCAGCTCACGATGCCCACCTGGCTGAGGTGGACGCCGATGCCCCAGGCTGTTCCAGAGCCCCCGGAAGTGAGCCTGCTGCTGGAGTGGGATCAATTCTGGGACTGTCATCACAGAGGGGGCTTTTTAGGGCCAGGTTCTCTGTGTGATAGGAACACCCACAAGAAACCACAGCCTCCCCACATCTGTTACCTCGTAGACAGCCTGTCACTGACATCGTGAGCCGTCGGGGGCGGCTGTGGTGGCCTTTGGCCCTGTGCCCAGGGTACAGAGGGCGTGCCGGAGGAGACGGTGCCGCGGGGCCGGAAACCACAGTGCAGAAGTGGGTATAAAGAGTGTGGGCCTCGGTGAGGCGCTCGCTGGAGGGGATGGCGCTGCTCCTGCTGAGCCTGGGGGTGAGTCTGGTCTCCGCCCAGCAGCTTGACCTCCGAACCATCGTACGCAGGAACTACAACATAGCCAGGGTGGGTCTGGGGCCTGGGCCTTCCCAAAGGGCCTGGTTGCGGGGCACTTGTCCTCCCTCAACCTGGGGTCTCTGACCTGTGACAAGGGTGCTGCTCCTGGGGGGACCCACCTCTCCAGCCCCAGCTGTGACAGCAGCCTGGGAGGGCAGAGGGGGTCCTGGGAGGGCAGAGGGGTTCCTGAGAGGGCAGTGGGGGTCCTGGGAGGGCAGAGGGGGTCCTGAGAGGGCAGTGGGGGTCCTGGGAGGACAGAGAAAAGTGCCTGGGAGGGCAGAATGGGTCTGGGAAGACAGAGGGGGACCCTGGTTGGAAGCCTTATGCCCAGGGGCCTAGCCCCAGGAGGGAGGCACCAAGAGCCCCAGACCATCCCATAGGCAACCCCCCGCCTGCCCCCCGCCCCACAATCCAGCAGAGCCTTGTCTGCAGGTTTCCGGAGATTGGTTTTCTGTTTCCATGGCCTCGGACGACATGAAGCGGATTGAAGAAAATGGGGACCTGAGGGTCTTCATACAGAAGATCAAAAGCTTAGAAGACGGTGGTCTGAAATTCTATTTCCAGCTCTTGTGAGTGTTGCCCACATTAGGGACTGGGGAGACGGATGCACCTCCTGCCCCACCCCCAACGCCGACCCTCACTCATGCACCCACCCTCCGTCCCCGTGGGAATCAGCATCTGACCATTCCCTGGGGGGCTGGGGGAGGCCCCGGGATGAGGGGGGATGATACAACCCCCTAGAGTCCTGAGGTGGGGCTGGGGTCAGGGGAGATGAGGTGGCCGTTGGCGTGGGTGGAGGGAGTCCTGTGCCAGTCACACCCCTGGTGGGGCTGGAGCTGCACTTGGGGCGTCACCCAGCTGGTCCTCAGGCTGCTGGGGCAGTGCGTGGAGGTGCCCATGGTCTGCGAGAAGACGGAGAAGAATGGGGAGTGCACCATCTCCTGTAAGTGGACGCCGGGAGTCCTGCTCCTCGGGGCCTGGCAGGCTCTGATTCGGGGGATTTTGTGGGACCTCTTGGCGGCTTGACTCTGAAGTGAGAGGACCCTGCCTGGTCCGTGGGCCCCATGGGCCCCTGAACAGCCCCCTGTTGGGAAGGTCCCTGGCCCGGGCCCGGGGAGGCAGGGGGGCCAGCCTGGGGCTTGGGGGGCCAGAATGCGGGGGTCCATCAGGGCCAGCTGCGCAGCAAGGGGGCAATCTGCTGCCACTGCCACCAGCAACACCACAGGGGTCTCCACCTAAGCGGGCACCGCGTGCTCAGCCACCAGGCCCGCCGTCCATACCCGCGGCCACACGGCACACCCGGTGCCAACCCAAGAGTACTGGGGCGACAGAGGAGGGCGGGGCACTCTAGCTCAGTGTCCCCCCAGACGAGGGGGAGAACCGGGTGCTCCTCGCGGAAACAGACTACAGGGTCTACGCCACCTTCCACCTCCTCAACCTCCGGAACGGCACCCAGACTCAAGTGCTGGCGCTCTACGGTACGGCCTTGCCACTCTCCCGGCTGCTGGGGGACTGGCAGGGCCCTGGGGATCCCTCCACTGGTGACAGGCCCCATCCTGCAGGGGTCTCCACCCGACAGGGCTCCCACCTCCGTCTACCCACAGTCAAGTTGTATCATGGGGCGAGGGTGCACCGAGGCCAGGCTGTCTGGCGTGTCCACGCCCTGCCTGACACGAGCCCCCGCAGCCTCAGCACCGCCTGAGACCCCTGAGACCCTCCCCACACATCGTCCCAAATTATCAGCAAAGGACCCTCGGCCCCCACCCTTCTGTCCTCAGGACGGATCCCGGACCTGAGCCCCAGCTTCCTGAAGAGATTTGAAAAAGTCTGCAAAAAATACGGTCTCGGTCCTCAGAATATCGTCAGCCTGATCGACAAAGGTAGGCCCCGTGCGGTCCACACCAGCAGCCGCAGCCGAGAGCCGAGCTCCGGGCAGCATTCTGGCTCAGCCTGGCCCTGGCCCGGCAGGCCGAGGGTCTCACCAGGTGGGGGCCATCTGAGAGCCCACTCTGTCTTCCCAGACCCCTGTTTGAAGTAGAAGAGGCGAGGAGCCGGCCAGGCCTCGAGGTGCGTGAGCGTTGACTAGGGCGGGGGTGGCACTGGGGGCCGTTGGGGGAAGCTGGGTGTGGACGGTGCGCGCCACTTCTCCAAGCCCATCCCTCAGCCGACCTGCCGGGTTTTCCTGCCGAAGTCACGGGAGGCGTATGGGTGGTGGGGCTGAGCAATCATGAAACGTGCCCTGTGTTGGTGCCCCTACGCTGCCGTCACAAAGGGCCACACCCTGGGCAACTTAGAACGGCAGGAACTTGCTCTCTCGCAGGGCTGGAGGCCAGAAGGCACAGCGTCACAGGGCCACACTCCCTCCGGAGGCTTCAGGGGAGGGTCCTCCTTGCCTCTTTCAGCGTCTGGGGGCTCCAGGCATCCCTCCATCTCTGCCTCCGTGGTCACAGGGCCTCTCACCTGTGTCTGTGCATCTCCTCTTCTGTCTCTTATAAGGACACTTGTTATTGGGTTGAAGGCCACCAGGTCATCCACGATGATCTCATCTCAAAATCTTTACCTTAATCACATATGCAAAGATCCTTTTTCCACATAAGGTCCCGCTCACAGGTTCTGGACACTGGGATTTGAACGTGGATGTGTTGGGGGGGCACCATTCAGTCCACCACAGGCCCCTTCTCCAAGCTGCCCTCCTTTCTCAGGAACCAGCCCCGCCCCGGTAAAGTGACCCCCTTCCCCCGGACTGGCCTCCAGAGCCGTCTCATCCGAGAGCCAAGGACTCTGAGGCCTTGGTGAGGGCCCGTGAGGTGGAGTGGGCGTGAGATGGTGGTCCACGAGGCCCTGCCCCCCGGCCCCCCGGATCAGTGGTCCCTCGAGGAAGACTATTAACAGATCAGCAGCTGGGACAAGCGACGCCTCGCCATGTGTTGGTGAATACACAGGGGACCCGGCCAATCCACCGTTATTCTGCAGATTGAAAATGGTTGCCCATTGGGAGTTCACCCGAGACATATGATGTGTCCACGCAAAACCTCTCCACAAATGTTCACAGCGGCTCTCTTCACAATCACCCAACTGGAAACAGCCCGACTTCCCCCAACAGAAGAACCAGCTGGCCCCGGGACACAACTCAGCACAGAGAGGAACAAGCTGCATGGATCTCAAGGGAACTATGTTGAGTGAAACAGCCACCTCAAAAGGCTGTGGTGTGTGATTCCATTTAAGGAATATTCTCGAAAAGACAGAACTGTAGACATGGAGAACTGATTCCTGATTTCCAGGGGTTAGGGATGGGGAAGGGGTGAGGGAGGCCGGTGTGGTTTACACAGGCAACTGGAGGGGTCCTCGTGGGGATGGAAATCCTGTATCCGGACTGTGGTGGTGGATCCAGGGACCCAGAACTAAATACCCACACTGACACACTCGCACACTCACACAGTCTCACACTGTAACACACGCACACTGACACGCTCGGCTCAGTGCGTGTGAACAGGGAAATACGCCTGGTGCGGGGCGGGGCAGGGGTGGCACCAGTGTCCCCATCTGTGAACACCGTCCTAGGGCTGTGAAGCGGGGAGAAGGGGTGAAGGGTATCAGGGACCTCTGTTTACTTCTCACAACTGCATATGAATCTACAACTATCTCAAAATAAAACGTTAAAAAGAGAAAGTGTTTGTCCTTCCTACCAAGTCAAGTGAGAAAATGCCATAGGCTCCTTCCTGGCTGCCTTCTGTCCCATCCCTGCCTCCTGGTCCCCTCTGCCCCCACCAGGGTGCCCTCTGCCTCACCCACTCCACTCAGACCACGCCTGCTCCAAAATTCTCAGCTGGCTCCTGTGCAGCTCGAGGGTGGGGCAGCCAGGCGGGGCGAGGAGGGGCTCTCCTGGCCCCTCTGCACCCCAGTCTGAGGAGCAGCTGGCCTGCCCCCCTCCTCATGTGAGCACAGCCTGAGACACTCCCTATGGCTCACTGTCCAGAAATCTCCGAGGTGGGGACATGGACTCCCGGGATGCTGGGGGATGAGCCCAGGCCAGCACCAGTGTCTGCTTGTTAAGAGCTGCAGGGGGCTACTTTGGGACCAGGGCTGGGGGCGCTGGCCCTCTTCCCTCAGGTGTTCCAGGCTGCAGGGGATGGAGATCCCTGTGCCCCTTCCAAAGGTGCTGGGTGCTGAGACAGAGCAGCCGCATGAGAATGGGGGTCTTAGGGCCGCAGCACTCCCACGGCCAGCCTGGCCTCCAGCTCCCTGTCCGGAACCTCGGTCGGGCCTGCTGGGCTGTGGCCGGGGACGTGTAGGAGGCTGCCCACTCGGCCAGGGCCTGCTGGCATGGAAAGTTGGCATTTGGGTGGCTGATGACAATGCCTGCAGAGGCCCTGGACCACAGAGAAGACCACCTCAGAAGGAGCTGCAAAGGGGAGCTGAGCCAGAGCCAGGGGCTCCCCGGGCTCCCAGCCAGGCGGGTCACAGCCAGCTCTGGTGCTTAGCGTGGGGCTGGGGCTGGCCTGTGGGCTCCTGCAGCCCGCTCAACCCCAGAGACCCCCGGGTGGGCCAGGTAACAGGTGCGGTGGGCAGGGATGCTGGGACCAGGGCCCAGGGCTCAGGGCAAAGCGAGACTCAGTGGAGCAGAAGGAGAAGACCGGGAGACTGTCATCGCTGCTGGCATCTGGGGCGCTGGGGTCAACCCTCAGGGAGGGTTCAGACGGATGGACAGCGAGCCTGGTGTCCCCAAGGCTGAGAAAGCCTGTCAAGGAGAGCAAGTCAAGAAGACATCTGGTCCCCTCCAGAAGCCGGTGTGATCCCGAACGGGGAAGCTCTTCTTGGTGTCTAACTTCACCCTACTTACTGGGATTAAAAGTGACTTTATTCTCAGTGAAAAAGGACATTAACAATCCCTGATGATGGTTGCATACCCCACCCCACCTGGCCCGTCACAGCACAGCTGTTCACGTCAAGATGCACCAAGAGGGCCACACCAAAGGAGCCAATGGCCAGGGAGGCCGGGGCTGAGCAGCGCCCCAGGGTGGGGAGGGAGGCAGCGCAGGGGCAGTTTCGGAGGCTGAGTCCGGCAGGGGCGGGGGCTTCAACGCTCTGAATTTCCTGGCTGACCCAAGTTGGGGTGCGGGATGCCACCCCACCATAGCGACGTGAGTCACTGCTGCCCGGGCTCCACGGCCCGACGTGTGTGTGGGAAGCCTGGGGCAGGGCGGTTCTGGAGTCCTGCTCTCTAAGTACCTTGGGGTCAGACCGCAGGGCTCTGGGAGGAGGAAGGAAGGGCTGCTGCCCCCTCTCCGCCCGGGGGTGCAGGCGACAGGCATCCATGCCTGCAGCCGTCCTCTTTCATCTTTGATGTCCCCCATGGCTTCCCGGAAGGTGTCTCTTCTCTCTTGGCCTCGGATGACAGAGGGCAGGACCAAGGTCCCCTGTGGGTTTCATCCAGAATGCTTCATGCATAATGAGGACCCACTGCTTCATTTCCTTCTCCCTGAGGAGATCCGGGCCGTGTGGAACTCCTGGCAGTGGGGAGCCGGATGCAGGGAGCCGGGGCCCCGCTTGGGTGGGTCTGAGAGCAGAGGAGGGGCCAGACCGGGCCATCTGCCCACCAAGAGTGCATGCCTTCCCTGTCCAGGCGTAAGGCCCTGTGTGGGGCGGTCCCAGTGGCTGCCTGCACAGCAGGAAGCAGGAAATAGCAGCTGGTGGCATGTCTGTGGCTGACTCCCTGGCTGCCGTCTAGACTCAGGATGCTTCCCAGCAGGTGCTGGCTGCTAGAAAGAGGGCCAAGGAGGAAGGGCCTTGCCCCAGAGGCCAACACGCGCACATCCAGGAGGAAGAGGGTTTAGGGCCCCAAGGAGAGAAGGGGGCACAGTCCCAAAGCCCCAGCACTCGGCAAGGAGCGGTTAGTTCCTGTCCAGCCAAACCAGGCGGGCGGCACTAGGGGCTTGTTGCGGGAGGGGAGAGGGCTGGGCGAGGACAGCTCACCCAAAGGCCCCCATCCTGTACCAGCCAGTGTCACCCCAGGCCTGGCACCGTCCCTGCACAGAGCAGGCAGACCCTCAACTGGCTCGAGGGCCTGGGATGGCTCAAATGCATGTCCAGACCCTGTGGGGCGCATGCAGCCCGGCCAGGCCTCCAGAGCCCCTGCCACAGGGGGACCGCCGGCTGGCACCTCGCCCTGGGCACATCCATCCACCTTGTGCCCACCTGGGATCCCACTTTCAAAGCTCTCCTGAAGCTGAGATTTTCAATTATTCTCAGGAAACGTGCCTGCGATTGCATCCTCCCCCAGTGAGCGTGGGCGCAATGCCCAGCAGTCTAGACAGGCCAGGGCCCCTCAGGGCATTTCAGAGCTCCCACACCCAGCAAACACACGGGCGGCAGGGACCAGGGCCAGGCTGGGCGGAGCAGGCCCGGCAGAGGTGGTGAGCTCAGTGTGGACGCGCCACGACACACATGGAAGACACTCCCAAAGGGATTGTGAGGCCAGCTGGGCCTGGCCGGACCTGTCACAACGCGCCTCCAGGACGCCGTGAGAAGTCAGAGGAACCTGACGGCGTGGTTGGCATGGTGTACCCACTGTGATGGCACATGAGCACCGTACCAATGGCATCGAGACCGGCAGGCCCCGCCCCGGGGTAGAGCCCACGCATGGGCGAGCACAGCCTCCCCAGCCTAAATGTTTCACGGCTCCCGCTAGGCGAGCCCCAAACCGGTCTTTGGAGGTCCGACAGGAAACTATCGGGGAGGCGCTGCACCCAGACCAGGCTCCCTGCTGCCCCCAGGAGCTGTCACCTGGAGCATCTCCCTCCCTCTTGCTTGGTCCTCCAGAGGTATCTCTGGTCCCCCACCCAGGAGAGTGCTGGGCCCAAGTCTATGGGGAGTGGCCTGGCAGAACCAAAGGCAAGAGACCTGCCCTTCCCAAGGTCACCAGGGCTCGAGTCTCTGCCACCACCCCCAGCTCTGCTCCTCTGCCCAGGGAGGGCACAGAGGACCCGTCAGAGATAAACAAAGCTGACACTAGAGCAGTAAGGACAGATCTTGGTGAGCCGGCAGCAAGGCCGCATCGAGGAGGGCCGTGACGCGGTTCCCTTCTGATACATCCCCGTGCCTCTCCCCTTTGCAGCTCTCAGGGAGGCGCGGGTACCTCTGGTGCATGTGCTCAAGTCCATAGGCAACGTGGGCTGTTGCACCTTGCCGATGTTTCCACGTCGATGGACTCGGTGTTTGCACCCAGCACGGCTGTCGGGTTTATCCGTGTGGACGCACACAGGCCTCTTCATCGTGCGTTGCACACAGGGTTCCTTGTTTCCGTGTGACTGTGCGACTTGACTGACCCGCTCCTCTGCTGGGAACCTGCGGGATGCACCTTCTTCCCCCCAGCTGTGCGCAAGTGCTGGCCCCAGGGCGTGTGCGTCCCCATCCAGCCAGAAATGTCCCAATGACGCCTAAGTGGCAGCCCTCCGCAGCCAAGCGCCGCCCCCTCCACCAGGGAGTATTGCTCAGACCCGCCCTCATGGACAAGGAAGAGCGGCCCCTCGTCTCTGCGCCTGGCTCCTGCCGCGGGAAGCGCCTCCTGTGTGGAGGGCCCGCAGCTCCCTCCTCTGGGAGCTGCCCGTTTGGCCTCCTTGCCCATTTTCAGTTTGTTCTCTTTTCTTTTGTCAGCTTTAGGTCTACTGTGGCCGTCAGTCCAGCTTTGCTCCCCATGGCAGCTGTCTTCCTGCCTCTGTCATCGGCCGTTCACCTGCTGGATTTTGCCTTCTCATTCGGAAATACAGAAACTTTCAGTCCCTTCCCCTCCCCTTGCCGGTGTTGTCTGTCTGCCTGCTTGAGGACCAGCACTTATAGCAGCTCAGCGTCCTGTGTCTGCGGCCCACCAGCTGTGTGACCTTGGTCACAGTTCTTGACCTCTCTGTGTCTCAGTTCCTACACCTGAAAACTGGATAACGAGTGCACCTACACCACAAAGTTGTCCTTACAAGGACTAAGTCAGCAGACACGTGTAAAGTCCTTGAAACAGAGGCTGTGGCCCGGCAGGATGGGGGAGGCGGGCAGGTTCAGGAGCTCACGGGCCTGGCAGCAGACTCCCTGAGCTCCAGATCAGGGCCAGGCTTGCAGAGGGCCGGCGTGGCTCTCCCTTGTCACACGGGGAGGCAGAGGGCGGCCTGAGGTGAGGGGAAGGATAGCTGCTGCCGGGGACTCGCCTCATTGCGGGGTTTAGGGGAGGGGTCTGGCTCTAGCTTAAGCTGCCTGGAAATAACTCATCCAGTTACACCTTTGTTGGTAAAGTTCAGATCTTTTCTACACACATAGTATCCCACTCCATTCTTTCTCCAAAGGCCCCATGTGATGGATCTTTTACTCCAGTTTCTTTGCCCTGAAACTCACAGTGCTTTGCCCGGGGCCTCCCAGCTGGGAAGCAGCACCACGGGACCCCTAACTCCAGTCCCAGTCTCTTTCACGTGACCTCATGCTGGGACCCCAGGCCAGGCCAATGGTCAGCGGGGCTGTGTCCTCTGGGCTTTGACTTTCTGTCTGTTATGCGTGTCGTCTAAAATAACCAGGAATCATCATGCCATCATCTCCTCTCCATGCCCAGCCCAGGGGGACTCCTCATGTCTCGTGGCTTCAAATACACAGAGCCTGGCAGTGAGTTAGATCTACC